GGGTGCTGGAGCCTATCCTAGCTGTCATTGGGCGGAAGGCAGGATACACCCTGGACGGGTCTTGGCTACAATCAAATATACACAATTTTCCCCTTGACCTCAAATATAGCAGATTGCCCAAGAAATGTTTGGTGACTGCAATATGCTTCTTTAGTTCTGCACTAAGCTGCTTGAAAGTAGCACCACATAGGCGCAAAACACTAAACAGGTCTTGGCTGACTGACTAAATTTGGGGTAATTTTAAGTTTACACTTTCCGCCCTCTCTATTAGACACACCTATTTTGTTGGTGCCTTGTAAGTGTACAAGTAGAGGCTGTGGTCTGGGTGGTTTTGGCTGGAAGACTATTTGAAACCCAGCCATGACACTGAGGTTTCAGTAACATCGTTGTGCCTGATATACTTGTACCAGCCCAACACACACTACCATGCCACCACATGACTGTTTCACTGCTGTGCTAATAATGGTCCTCAACCCAAAATATAGGTGGTGCCTTTTTATTGATGATCGAGTAGAAAGTGGCTGATAAACTGTGCAGCGACAAATGACCTACAGTCAGTAAATGCAAACCTACAAAAGACACCTTTATGGTAGGTGCAGCTGATAAAACAGCCAATGAGTATTTCATGTGGCATTTCCATTATTTTGTACACACTCTAAATTAGAGGTAATTTCAAGTTTCATTTTGTGTGGACATGTTTACCTGTAATAAGACAGTGGACGTGGTGGTGCATCTGGCCTCTCCTGATCCAGCTCTCGGAACACTGCTTCAGGCAGCTTCACAGCTGGACCGGGCATGCTACCATGGTGATGTGAGCCCTCTTTCTTTTTCTCTTTACTCTTGTGCTTGCCTGCTTTGGGTGTGGCCCCCGCCCCTTTCCCCCCATTGGCTGCTGCAGGAGTGTCCGGCCTGTCCTTTCCGTTGCCACCACCCTCAGTCCCACCTCCATCACCCCCATTACATGCGGTGGAGCCTCCCGCTCCCGATGTGGGTGCGTCCTCGGCCTCGCTATCCTCCTCCGAAACTACGTCCAGGTCCTCGAAGATGCTGATCCGGTGCACTTTGCCATGGATCTCCAGCTCAACCATGCGCTGAGCTTGGGCATACGTCATCGTCTCCCTGCCAGGAGAATGAGAGCGCTCAGAGTGGTCTGCCGGACTGCCAGGCGTCCCACCCTGTCCAGGAACCCCAGGGCCACCACTAGAGTCAGCCCCGTCTCCCGAGCCGGACAGGGAGACTCGTGGGGGGTCGACCCTTGCGTTTTTTCTGGGGTGTGCCCTGGGCAGGAGGGGGGTTGTCGTGATCATAGTGGTACAGGTGGTACTCTATGCCACTGTAGCTCTTATAGACTTTGCGACAGGTTTCTACAGGACACTCGTAGGGCGGCTTGGTGGCCCGTAGGTTGTGACAGAACGTTTTCACGTCAAAGTCCAGCCCCATGCTGTCAGCGGACCCTGCAGCGGAGAAGTCCAGCTTACATCTGAAAAAGGGAAAGAGTGTAATGTATTAGTCTCCACTTCACAAATAAATACATACATAAGTAAACGAATAAGGTCAAGAGCAGTGAACCCTTTGTGTATTCATCAATACATAATAGTTACGTGCCTAGCATGGTCAGTTACATGACAACTCTGCACTGTACTGGCTAGCAAACTATTCGCAAACAAGTTCCTATGCACAGTCCTGTCATCCAAACGAAGATGACCAGTCGGTTAACAGCTGAAAATATCCCTCACAAAGTACCATTTTAAATTAAAATGTACTGGCGTGTTATTTATAATAAGCTCGTCTGTCACTGAAGTTAAATTTCCGTTAAACAGTGATGAGGTATAAGTTACAGGTGCCACCAGCTTGATGTAAACAACAAACGTTGGCTAAGTTTTCGGAAATATGCAGTTTGAGCTAACGTCTTCACACAACGTAGGCTACGTAAACCTCAAGCATAACCCGAAATGCCTAAAAATAACGGTATCAAAATTGTTAAAATGGCAAGACGTGTCCAGCTCGGTCAGTGTTTTGAGTGTGTAGCTGCAGAGCATCTCGTAACAACGTTTCCCTCCACTGGCTCCCTTCATTCAGCGTCTTAACAGGACATTAAAGCGACGCCCATTCAACAGTTGAAAAATACGAGTTTGAAAGGCCTCAAGTTTGTGAATGTATTTTAAAAGTCGGTACAGACTTCCCTCAAACAAGGCTCGCAGTAAGTGTATTGTTTAGTAGTATCACCATGGTTTACTGCAGTCCTGCAACGAAGGTCTAGCAGCTAACTGCGGCTAACTGCTTCTAGTGTAGCTCAAGCGTCCTCGCGGAAATGAAAAAGAGCTTTCTCCGCATCACACACATGTAAATTCAACAAGACCCTCGAGGAACTCCTATTTAACCCAGTATATTCCCGCAACCATTGCAGATAGGAACTAGTAAACACTCACTACTCCTCCTGTCTCTTGTCAACGGCAGCACAATATCAATATCCAGCCTTCAGTTCCAACGAAGAAGGGCAGAAATTACTCCTGGCTTGCTCCCCTGTATATTAGCGAATCTAAAGGAAGACGGCCCTGACTGTACTGATTTAAAAAAGTAAGGGTAAATATCAGGTGCTTTAATTTTACAGAAGATAATACAGGAACTAATGCGAACAAAAGGTGCTACAGTTGAATGCCATAGGCGCGTGTTTGCACATTCGCCATTTTCACACGATGGGCTCTGGCAAAATAGCGACCTAACCCTAACTGTATAAAATAAATAAATATAAAAAAACACTAACAGAAAGCCTTGAGATTTTAGTTTCTATGAAAACAAGTAAGTAGTACGCACATGTGCCGGATAAAAAAATCGCCTACGTTACTTCCTTCTTTTGAACTCCACCGATCTACGAATCAGGCGACGACTTTCACGTCGCCGTAGACGAGCACATTCTTCCGCGAATGTCACTCTGTGTCCGTTTCTGACGGAGAGAGGTCGCTGTAGTTCACACTGGGCGATTATACTGGACAAAACGAAAGCGTATCACCGTTTCTCTATATTTCCGTCAGGCTATGAAAATAAACGAATGTGCTAATGCGGATCTCTAGTTTGATCGACTAATCCTTTGCGCCATTAATTTGAATTGAGCGCTTCAGCGCAGCACCGACAGGGGGCGCTGTTTACATAGTGCACACAGTAGCACAGAGCTCAATGGAGATCATTCATATAACTATGTTAAAGCGGTGCTGCCTTTCATGGGAGCGACTTTTTAGCCCACCGTAGGAATATTTGTTTTAGTACTTATTTCTGTGTAAGCCCGTTCTTTATATATATATATATATATATGTATAAAGAGACGAATGCAGGGTGCTGTGGAAAATACTACTCAAAGAAAACGTATGTTAATCAGACTAATCACCATTTTAGTATTCTCAATATTACAAAACTATTTTACACTGGTCATTTTGGATAGCAGACATCACATCTAAATGGATGTTGTTTACATCTCAACCATTGATTATGCACTTTAATCTCGGTCTTGCTTGGGATTTAACTGGTCAGTATTCTCTGTAGTGTTGTTTACTGCTCTTTTATCTACCCCTGACCAGTGTTCAGTATGTAATAAACTCCATGTAATGCATACTTATCTAAACTGATATTTGTCAAAAATCCATAGAATGTTAAAGTATTTTTCACAAGGTTTCTATGGCAATCTTTTAATTCTATCACTGTAGATAGATAGCCTATTCTAGTAACCTAATAAATACACTGATAGCTGTGTCAGTCTCTCAAGTGCTGAAAAAAAAGACATTCCACTGTACATGCTGCTTATCCCTAGTTTTCCTTTGAAGGATATACATATGCAGAGACACAGTTCTATTTTCCAATGTTTAAAACAAAGAATCTGCATACCTTCTTTCCTGTGCATCACATATGCAAAGAAATACTTGAAGGACATGCACTATATTAAGCACCAGGGTTGGGTAGTGACAGAACACACTGTCATCTTTACATTTGAAATATTTCTATATATTGCTTCATGTAGATTTGGCTATTTCGCTAAATGTGAGATCAGGAAAGCAATCAGAAAAAGAAAGTAATAAGAAAAAAATTCTACAATTAAATTCAGTTATGTAAGGAGTAAAAATGGTTGTGTTTAAACAGGAACAGAAAATGTCCTGAAAACATCAGACCATATCCACCTGGCCAACACTCTGCACTAAAAAAAAACAAAACACCACACAGACACACAAAACCAGGATGCTATTATCAAGCACAAAATTATGTTTATTTATTTCTTTAAACATATACAGAGTCTTTGTGATCGGAGTGCAGCTTGTTTGGGCTGGGCTGAATAACGTAATGCAGAGAGAGGTGTACTCTAGGCAGAAGCAATCAAGAACATAGCTTTGATGAGGAAAAAAGGTAACTAACAATAAATAATAATTCAGTTCCACATCTGCTAAAGGTTTAAATAGACTTGGCAAAGTGGATGCAAAATACAACAAATAACAGAGGACAGAAATCTCTTACTAGAAGTGTTTCACCCAAAAGCAGAGGATTCTGCATAATAGCCTATATAAAAAGTCCAATTCAAACTGAATTGATGGAATAATAAAATGTACACTAGGGAAAGGCCCCAAAAGGAAAACAAAAATGAAGGTATACAAAGCAAAGGAGTTATACATATATTAATTACAGGCAACCTGTACAATTCACAGCTTGGCAGAACCACGGTTTCATGACCTCCTCAAACACGGGGTAGAAAAAAGTGGCTCCATTTATAGGAACTGTGTAGTGGAGAGCCTGACCATGCTGGTCAAAGTATTTGAGTTGCAAAGATCAGGCTTCGATTGTGGAAGGGGAAAAGTGCAGTTATATAGCAGTGTCCTCAGGGAGCTAGGCCATTCTGCTCAAAATCAGACCCAAAGCCATTTTAACCCCTAACAAAATAATAATTCGAAAATAAAAAAAATTGCAAAAGAAAGCAGAAATAATCAGGTGCATGACCGATCCATGCTCTGCCCACAAACATCTTGGAGCAGCTGGTTTAAACTCGGAAACGCTTGTAGTTTTTTGCTGTGTAATTGAGCTAGGTGGCATCATGGTAGCAAACTTGTTATTGTTAACTTATTGTTTCCAGCCTGCGTAGTTTTGATTAGCTTTAGCAACTTAGGCCAGCCCAGCAGTGTAGAGAGTCAATGTTACGTAGTAACTCTAACCAAAAACGGCAATAATTTGAACTGCACTTTTGCCAAATATTCTGAGTAGCTGTCCAATCTCAACTACAAAAGAAGACATTTATGGGCAAAGCATGTGTCAATTGCAACTATTTGTGACACACATACACAGTGTGGTATTTGTATCTGCACATGGCTTAGGGCTGGATTTTACATTAAGTTTCATACTCAGTACTTTACATAATATCTAGATAACCTGGTCAGTTTGTTGGACTAGAGTTAATGTATTGCCTTGTGCACTGAACTGTGTGCTTGTACGCGTAGTCACTGTTGCTCACCGCTCATTTTACCGCTCATTTGCTCACCGCTAAATTAGATCAGTCAGGACACACTAGCAGCACTGAAAAAATGCTAAGAAAGTTATTAGACCATATAAACAAGTCTACTGATTGCACTGCCCTACAAGGAAAAAAAAACAAAAAAAAACACAAAAAACAATACACCCAATGCAAAATGCTAATCAATATAGTTGTAAGTTATAACAAGGGGAAAAAAAAAAATCATAGAAATCTAATTTAAACTAAACTCACATTAGTCGGTGTATGGAACACTAGGCAGTCCTGTACAGTGCCAAAGTCAATGCTGGCCCCTGGTGTGTGGATAAGGCTTGTGGCAAGGCCATTTCTGAAAGCTTTTTATTTCTTTTTTTTTTTCTTGCTTTTTCATTTTTTTTTTTATCGTGAAAGAGGGCGGAATTGCACTTAAATCTGCGCAGCTACACTTTCCCTATCTTACACAACTGCTACATTCTGAGACACCTCCGACATGCACGCACAACTTGTCCAAAGCCACTCATCCCCATCTTTACAAACTAATAGAATGGACTGAATTTTGTAAACTTGTAAACTTTACAATGAGCATGCAAACGCGCTGTTTTTGCCTCAACACGCACAACATGAAACAAGCACCACATGAAATTTGAGTTCATTTTTCCACAAATGTAATTACAGCGATGGTATGGCCCTTGTTGTCCACTATCAAGACAGCAAAAGCATGCAAGTGGCCAACGTTTTAGGAGGTTACGATGTTGGTATAAACATTTGCGAATTCTCACATTGTGCTTGTTAACGGCTTCGCGATGGGGCCGTAAACCAAAAGGTTTTTGTTTTACACTTGATACTAAATTAAGAGGATGGTTCATGCAGTGCTTTACATGAAGGGCTTTTAAAATTGTAAACAATCTAACAAAAAACTCAAGTGGTGGGAAGTGTGAGAAGAAAAAAATGATATTGCATTAAAAACAGGAGATTCCTAGTAACTCAAGGAAGTGCCAGCCTTTTTGAAGGGAGGCTTGTTGATTTATATTTGGAAATCTGTTTGGTTACCAAGGCACTACATTCTCCTTGAATGTCTCTTTTGCATGTAGGGAATCTGCAATGTGGTCTGAGACTGCATTTTGTGTTGGTGGCCAATTCCAGCAGTAACTGTCTTATATTTAAAAAAACAAAAACAAAACATTAGGGTACCAACCAGAGCTATATATCTAGGGAGTTTAATAAACGCAGGTTGAGATTTTGTGCTCTACCTTTTTACTATTACAGGTAGATCAACAAAACTCTAAATAGATTCTTCTAGAGTTCCTGAAATAATTTGTTTCTCTGAGTGTTCATTTATCTACAGCTCTGGTCGCCACCACCTTCCTGTTTACTTTCTACTAGGCCTGTCAAACAGTGATTTGCTGAGTTGTGGTGGAAAAGTACAACAAAAACAACAAAAAAACAAAAAACAGACCACATGAGATTATGACCAATTATGGCTGTAGAATTCATAAAGGCCATAGTGATATTACAGACAAATGCAGACTTCCTTTCACTCGCTCAAGCACACGTGCACATACACACATTATTTACAGGCTCTGGGGTTATGTACAGGTGCATCTGCCGTCAAAGGCAGGATGTTACTGACATCATTACCACTGGACCAATGCAAAAGAACTATGGGTACTGTGGTTTCAATGTGAGGCCAGGGTAACCCCACACGGTATTTGAATGCAGGACTCTGGTGTAACAAACCTCTTACCAGAGACTGATTTGAATGGGCCACTGAATGGGTATCAACTCAAGACTACATAGCTTTGCATTACAAAGAAACACAAGTTACTGAAGCTATTGGCCCAGAACATTGCTTGTAGAATGGGCAGGAGTACATCTGGTGACATAATTACACAGTCCTAGCGCTGCCAGGGCACACGGGGGTGTCCGAGCCATTCAACGCCATGGGAAACGATTGCAGTGCAGGGTTGGCCAATGCAGAGAAGGGTACCATACCCGCCGTGCCAAGCATGTTCACTGGCCCCATTGTGCCAACTGGACAGGGAATTCCAGGCCACTGGGTTGAGTACCCAGGGTTCGGCATCACCCCTCCAAAAGGACCGGTGGGAAGCAGGTAGCCGGCTGGCTGGAGGACAGGTGAGGGGGTGGTGCTGAGGGCGGGGGGCACTGCAGGACCCAGAGCAGCTGAGAGCGGGCAGGGAAGCGGCAGCTGGAACTGCAATGAGCTTGGAGGGACTGGAGGCCTTATCTGCACACAAGAAGGCGAGAGACTACATAAACAAGGATACTGTCACAACCACATGTAGCCCTCTAGTGGTAATAAGAAGGTACTCCAGTTTCTGCCTATCCTTCAACATTGCTGAAAGGATAACTGGAGAGAGGGTACTCACAGGAGAGAAAATAACTGACCTATAATAATAAGGTTATATTTGGAAGAAAGTGCAGCAGTATTGCTGTTTTTAAATGCACCACAGTCAATGTTGCCAACGTTTTGGGGAAATTACTAAAGATACACTATCCTGTACCAGTCAGCCAGTCAAATACTTTGCATGTTACATACCAGAACCCTGCCAGGTAAAACTAATCCAACTCCAAAAGTGCTTAACAGATCATTTGGGAAGGCATTTGGGAAAAAAAATGGTGAACAAAACGTACCTGATTTGTGGCTCCACCCATAGGCATGGAAGTGGCCTTGAAGTCCTGATGGCGTTGCTGCTGTTTGATCTGGTTGAGAGAAGGCCGTGGCTGAGGGCCGGCAGCAAGTGTTTCTTTTGCCCAGTCGTCGACCAGCTTGTGCAAGTCATCTGTAAATGTCCCGGTTTTATTGTTGCTGTTGTTTGTCTGAGCCTGAGCCAGTGTTGTGATTGGCCGAGGAGCAGGTGCAGGCGTAACCACAGGGGGTGGGACTGATTGCTGATTGGATGCTGAGGTCACAGGGGTGGCACCAGTGCTGTGCGATGACCCTACAAGAGACAGTTGACAATTTAAAAAATTATCATGAATAAATGAATAAGCAAGCCTAGAAATCTCGTTTGCCTGAGCTGTCGATAATCAGTTGGCTGCTCACTGACGTCAACATGTTCAACTACACTAAACAGACATGATCCTGAATGGTTAATTACATTTGACCAATTAAGACGTAATATCTGCCTATTATGCATTAAGTTTTAACTGTTTTGATGCAATAAGCAGCCAAAAGATTATGAATGAACCCACTAGCATGACTGCTGAAACATACACGTCAAAAAATCAAAAGATGCACACAAAAATAACAGAAATAGCACTTCACTGAAGTCACACCACATATCGCCATGCACTAGGAAAAAAATAGAAAAAGTTAAATAAATGAAGTGACAAAACACTTCATTATTACATTTTCAAAACGCTGCTGTACACTCTATTGCGAACACACGAAGCAGACTGCAGCACTCACATAAGTGGCCATGCCCAAAGACAGAACGAAAAAATTAAAAGAAGAAAGTCGAGGGAGGATGAGAAAAAAAAACGTAAGGAAGAAAAGGGGACAGCAGAAGAGAGTAAATAGGATAGTTACTACTACTGCGCTCTTTGCCTAGACATAGTCGTTTCAGAGTGGACCCTATAGAAAGGCAAAACAATACAGACACACATGGTTAGGGGGGGAGGCAGGAAACAATGCACACCACACAGCTCATTGGACAAGCTGCTGGAGAGCCAAAGACAGCGGCCAATCAGTGAATAGAAACAGGATCAGAAGGAGGTGCTGGGAGATTTAATTAGCCAGTATATGTTGGGTGCTGGGGGAGGTGGGTGCAGGTGATCATAGAAAAGGACTCTGAGGGGCAGTTCGCAAATAAGAAAAAGAAAGCTGAAAGTGGAATAAATCTTAGTGTAATGACTAAAGACTGAAGCCCTATCATGTCTACCATTCTAATAAAAGGAGCATGAAATCAAATTTACTCATCTTTCTTCTTACCCCAATTGTAAATGATAAGTCAGGACATATTAGCTTTCTCACTTTGGGACTGGAACTACGAGGCTAATGTATATAAGTAATGGAACCTAAAACACTGAGAAATTACAGGAAATGATTAGCCTTTTTGAGGAAGGAAGCTTGTGAGGAAGGTAAATTCGAAGCTAAAAGAAACGTAAAGCCAAGAATTTTAGATTTGTAGTTAAAATTTCAGCATCAATTATCACATTAACAAGCTGAAACTGAAGTTAAAAAAATGCATATGAAAGCTGTGCAAAAAAATCTTATACTGCTACAATCAAGCAACAGCTTTGTTTGCATTTTCAGTAAAATATAATGTGCAATAAGTTAAATGATAAATTACTTGCATGTTGTCATTCAATAAAGGTTTCACGAAAGACGAAAGAGATTTTGCTGGTTTGATTAATGATAACATGGCTTCCTTTTTTACTTAGGAATAGCCACTTTGACAGTAAAGTCTCAATTTTACAAACAAGATTCTAAAATTCTCATATACCTTTGTGCCAATATTCAAGACTAAATTCAAAACAGCACCAAAATTCATGACCTTGGATACAACCTGAATGGCTCACTGAATTGGGACTTTCTTGAGACTTAAAATTCAACACTTGAGACTTACTTGATAATTATGGCTAAAAGACTTGATTATACTTGCAAACTGACTGCTTGTTTATACTTATGCTGCCAACACAATGGACAGGACTCATCAGTTTACCAAAAAGAACTTCATGGGTTTAAAATGGGTATGTAAGAGTAAGGCTAGTTTATGGACCAACAGATACTAAGTATATTCCTAGAACTCCACCGTTATGTAAAAGGTCTGAAAGAAAAAAGAAAATACTGAAATTGTCCTTTAAGCAAATCCAAGGCAAAGCAGATGACAAACTTCTTTGTCTCTTGGCAACAAATGAGATCTAAATTTAGTATACTGAACATTTCACAGACCCCTATTTTTTGCACCTCATGGAAAAAAAACATGAATTGCAATGTTGCTTTGAGCTTAAGTGAGAGTAAGAACTTGTATAATCAGTTTGGGGGGTGGGGCTGTAAATATATTAATACATATATTAACAGAACTAAAAGGAAACAAATAGAAAAAGTTGAAATTAAGCTACACTTAAAAGAAACAAGGTCAAAGTGCTGCTATTAAAGCAATTAAAGCAGAATAAAGAAATTATAGAGACATAAAATTCTACAAAACTGAGTAGCAGAGGCAGCCTTTTCTTTGTTTAAAGAGAGTCATGCAGTGGAGAGCCAGAGAGGAAGAAGTGAGGTAAGAATTCAAAATACAGCCCTGATGATCTCCCAAAGTGACCCTGGCTCGTGCCTCTGGCATGCACGTCTTCCGAATCCAAACATGAGTCAGCGCCAATCGTCCTCTTACGCTGGCATGGGGACTTTTTTTTTTTTCTTTTTTAAACATGACCCGAGCGAACCGGGGACGATTAGTGAAAGAAAGAAAGCACATGTACAGAAGATACAAAGGCTTTGGCATAAACCCACAGGTATACTCTCTCAAAAGAGTTCAAGGTTTCAAGGCCCATGTTTGGGGGAAGACAGGGTTAACATTATCTGGTAAGCAGAAGCGGCGCACAAAGCGTTTGTATGAAAGAAAATGATTGAAAACAATACAGGTACATAAACCAAGGGCCTGAAGAGCTGACAGAGGGATAACATGGTGGACGAGTGGAAAAACAGGTGAAAATGTGAGTATAGTACATGAAAAATGTATGGCTGTGCTGAGGAAGTGTTTTTGTTGGGGGTGGGGGGGGGCAGGGATGGGGTGATCAAATAAGAAACCACTGCATAAAATATTGGGGTGTGGGTGACAGAGGAAAGAAAGAAAGAAAGAAAGAAAGACAGACAGACAAAGACAGAAAGAAAAGAGAAAGTAAGAGACAGGGAAGGGAGATGGGATGAGCGAAGTAAAGTAGAAAAGAACAAATACAAACAGATGGACAGAGACACGGGTCCACTGAGGAATCTAGTGCGCGGTTTGCTACTAGATTTATAGGTGACTCTCTCGGATGTTTGGTGGTAAACGGTCCAGCCTGTGAAAAACGAATATAAAAGGGAGAGAAGAAAGAGAGAGAAAGAAGGAGAAATAGAGAGAGAGAAAGAGAGAGAGAGAGAGAGAAAGAGAGAGTGGTGTAACAGCGAACACATCAGGGATCAGAGACCGGCATCATCTCAGCATTGTCAGTAAGGCACAGCCAAAGACAACAGGACTAATGGTCAAGTTCATGATGGATGGGTCAATGTGTGAGCGTGAGACAACCTGGGGACATTTTGGGCCCTGTTAAGTTGGCCAGCAGCACCTACTTTTGGACAACCAAGTTAAAAAAAAAGGATGCAGTCATCTTTTTGATTAAAGATTTCCATATGCACTTAAATATGTGGTGGTAACACTGTAGAGGTTTTGAAAATCCAGACCCTGAATCCAGTTTCCCGTCCTGGATTTTGTAACCACTGATAGGCAGAGACGTTCAACAACTCCATTCATGTAAGTATGAGTCGGTCTCTTTAATAGATAATCTTTGTTTTAGTTTTGTTTCGTTTTTAGCTGCAGGCACTGCATAGGACAAAAGTAAAACATTATTCAAAGCAGACATTTTTTTGTAATGTGCCTTTCATTATAGAATAAATCTTCAGTCTGAAAAACAACTGAAGAGCTACAAGCAGTAAATGTGGTGTTTAAAGGAAAAAGACAAAACAATTTAAAATGGCTGGTTAGTATGTAGTTTATATCGTACGTATGGTATATAACACTAATCCAGATGAAGTTTTATAAAGTTTTAAAGGAATGTGATCTGTAATTTAACTTCAGCTAGATTAGCTGGCAACTTTAGCTCTAACAGCTACTGCATTAGAATGTACTCTGTAGGATGGTGACCCTAATTTGTTCAATTTGCAGGCAAGTTGCAAATCACTTAATATATGACCTGCTGACTTGTCCCCATCTCTGCTGGTAGGTATGACTGTACATGGCCAAATGGTTACATCAACAGTTCAATTAACTGTTACTGATTACACAATCCAGGACCGGAAACTGGATTCAAGGTCTGGATTTGAAACCCAGACCTTGTAGAGCACATAAGGGAGTCAATCTCTTGTGAGCGATGTGCGTTTTTGTGGAATGCCATCAATTCATAAAAAGCCAGCACATGGCAGAGTGATATCACATCTTATCTGTATCTTAAAACGTTAGGTATGGTTTTTATGACTGGTTAACTGTGAGCAATATACACAGGCAGTTTTCAAAGGCATTTCATTTTCTTTCTCTTCCTTCCTATCATGAGCATCATGTTTGGAGGATAGTATGATGCCATCTCTACAAATTAAGCAAGGAAATTTTCTGGGTGTATGAAGGACATTGAGTATTTGAATATATCATAAAGATTTAGACCAATTAGAGACAACAGTAAAACAACAGCCACTATTTAGTAACTTTATGAAAACTATGTTGTGCATTGTACGCAGCTAATTGGATGATCAGATTACGCAATTATCTTGTTTTACAAATGTATTTTTTACCAATGATTTCATATTTCCTCTTATTCCTTAAATAGCTTTTCAAATGTTGAATAATAATAGTAAGAAGAAGATGATGACCAAGAAGAAGAAGCAAAACCCACAGCTACTTCAAAGACCCTCTCTCAAACAGTGGAATACTGAAGGAAAATGTGCTAATAATTTCTTGTTCATATTTACTTTATTTCATGTCTGTTGTTCAATTTTAAGATCTCACTGTCTGCTGGAAACACTCAATGTGTGTCCATGTTATAGATTAGAATCAGCCTAATCACTTGAGCGTGGGAAATCTACCACTTTGAATTGGCATCTGGCTCAATATGACAATTGCCATACTCTACCGTACACAAATGACACCCTTGACTTCTCTGGTTACTTTATGCTCATCAAAATACTTGTGTTATGTGCCTGTATTTAAAGCCCCAGGGAGCCTTAATATGTGCTTTCTATCTAACTGGGTTAATCTTTGTCTAACTGGACATATAATATACGTACATAAAGTATGTCCTATGACTAATTTTTCTATTCAATTTCAATTTCACCCGAATTTCTCTTCTTTCAGAGTGACCTGGGCAGATCTATCTGTCTGTCCCCACTCATGTGGGTGATGGTAGTTGTTCTACCTACACAGCTATAATAAAACTGTGTTCCCTGATGGCAAACCTGGCAAGCAAGAGCTAAAAGCCCAGTGAAAGCTAACCTGGCAAGCACCCTGCCTCATCTGTCTGCTTACCTATCGTCCGTTCATCCAATTGGCCATGGCAGCATTCAATGTGTGCATTCTGCACTCCATGTACATCCAGCAGTGAAATCAATAAAAACCTCACTTTCTTTAAAACATCTCCACATAAGTTGGACAAAGTTTCAGAGACGCATAAACACAGTGGAGTCCGCACAACAACCACCTGCACATGTAGAGCCAGTTTTCACTCACTTTTAGTTCAGCATGAGCAGTGTAGCCAGCTGTGAGCACTGGACTGTGGGATATCAATCGTTATTATTAGAATTTTAGGTCCAAAAAGTTTTCAGACTTTTTTTTTAAGCAGTATTGTTATATTTCTATCTAGTTTATTCAACATTTAGTGGATATTTAATGTAACACTCAATTTTAACATCATAGAAACACTAATAATTTACACTGGTGTTCCCTGGGACTTTAAAAGGTGCAATTTGTCTCCAACAGTTTGTCTCCTTCCTACAGTATTGTGTGTACGCACTGTGTGTGTGTATAAATGACACACAGATGGGGGAATCTAAGCATGCCAGTAATGCACCATGTGTCCATGCAAATTCATATGCTCAGCACTTTCACAAAGACTTCTATATGGGCACAATAAAGATGTGTGTATATGACACGGCGAGAATTAAGATATTGAACGTGCCACTGAGGCACACCATGTGATAAAGTAAATAGGGGTTATACAAACACACAGTAATGCTTCTGCTATGGGTACTCTGTGGGTGTGTCTGTGTGGGAGTGTGTGTGGGTATATGATTGTATTGTTACCTTGTCCAGGAGGAGTGTGTGTGGGTGAGCCGCAGATGTTGTCAGAAGACAGAGAGACTTTGAGTGAGCAGGGCTGCTGGGTTTGGACTGGCTGCAGTGGCTCGGACACTGGACTCTGCAGCGTGGCCAGGCTTGAACCCACTGAGCTGTTACCTAGAATCGAGCTCTTGGCTGGAGAAGCAGACGCACTGGAAGAAGTCTCAGCTGCAGAGAAATAGAAATTTGGATGGTACTGAAAATGGAAATAAAAGTTTCAGAGGATCATTTTGTGTAAAGCAACCATTAATGGCAGCTAACTTTAGGTAAAGCATTATTTTACCATTTATTTGGAAATGCACACTGAAGTTGTAACTGAAAGGATTATCCTCTCATTAATTGATGCGCAGGCCTTTCCTTCCTTCTCTGCATGATAGTTATGAATATTTCAAATCATTTTTTGCGCTTCTTTATTTTCACTGTATTAGCATTGTCATTCATTTTTTCATTACTAGTGTAACCGCGAAAATGCTATTTGATAAACTGCACTACTGTTTAAGAGTTTAGAATCACGTGTTATACAGCTATTTTATTTTATACAAGGTAACAAATACAATACTGTGTAATGATCTTTTTACAATCTCTTGATTTTTTGATCCCCACTTCTCATATATGAGGCAATTAATTTTATTGTAACTTCATTCTTAAATAGGACTTGCAAGTTTGGGTAATAAAACATCCTGGAAATGTTCTGTGTTTCATGTGTTCATCTATCCTACACAATGTGAGCTTCAGATAAAAAAAAATAAAAAATCAAAAATCACATTAAAAAATCAACCAGACAATCGGGCTCTGGCCAATTTGACTGTAAAGAAATCTGAATAACTGGATACAACAATTTATGATCAGTGCTTCCCTTTTTAAAACACCTGAATAGTGGTTCCAAACTTTTGAGCTGTGGAGTGTATGCCAGTAGGGTAATCTACTTTAAATTACTTAATCGATTGACATTTTATCAGTAATTCAGTCATATTATGACTACTAGGCAACAAGAGTAGTCAAAGAACTGGATCTTGAAGTCCTCAGTGAAAACTACACCTACATCTATTTAAAAATGTTGTATTACTTTGTGCACGTATGCACACACTCATGCTTACCTCGGTTGTTTTTGAGCTGTTGCACCATGGGGTTGAGGAGCTTGCCTGCCTTGAGTTTGTGTTTGGAGGCTCTGCGGCGGCGGCCTGTCGGGGGTGCTGCATGAAGGAAACCCATGCTGGGTGGCACGGGACGGCCCAGCCGAGAGTAAAGCTGCTCTATCTCGCTTCTTTGATTAGCCTGCAGCTCCGAGATTTCCTTCATATGCCTGAGTGAGAGATGAAAAAAGTTCTATTTAAAATAGCCAACCTCTATTCATGCACACTTTTGTAAACCCACAGCACTGTTCAAGTCACTTGTAATGTTCTTCTAAAGTCTGCAAACCTTAGTGTGTTAATATATGCATGTGATGTGCAGAGTTCTTTTTGCTGCTGCTGTAATTCTGCAGTTTCCTCTGAGATGACTCAGGTATCTATCTATCTGTCTATGATATGTTGTATGTTGTGCTTTCTTTACTTCTCTCTGAGCCTCTGGAGCTCCTTCTTCATATCTGCGTCTTCAAACTCCGAGTCATTATCACTGCTGACATATGTAGAGTGGGCGTGACTGGCGACACAGGGGGCATGTCCATTTTGAAGTGGAGGACGGCTGGGTGAATCGGAGCTCTGCACGCTGCTACTGCGGCCAGAGCGACGGAAAAAGGCCACCGCCCGCTTCATCAGATCACTGCCACTGTGCTCTGAAAGAGCATGTGCAGGTTGTGTGGGTTTATTGGGTGGAGCAAAGCAGTTGTCGTCTTCACCGGAATCTGAGGTGAGATGGAGGCCGTGCTGCGTCGCTGTATCAATTGACAGGGAGGTCGGAGCATGAGGGAGTGAAGGTGCGGCTTCTGGGCTGGATGGGGGCATCTCCTACAAAAAATGACCATTGCAACAATGGAATAGTTAAGCGAAAAATCTGAAATCTAATTGACAAAATCACAGTGAAAACAACCATCTTGAAACCTGAATTTTGTACATTTTTAAAGAGAAAAGTATGTCACTCAGTGTCACATAAGTAAGCCTATTTTAGAAGACTTAACAACTGGACACATTTTGAGGAAAGTGTGAAATCATGCCATAGTTACACCGGTCTGTCACTTCGCTATTTTCTTTACCGTGGTGAAGCATAAATCAGTCAGGCATGGGCGATCTTGATGTGATGTGATTTTGAAGCTAACGTCTAACATTACTGAGCATTACTGAATGTTACACTGACTGAGGCCCAGTCCACATGTATCCAGATATGTTTGAAAACAGATTTTTTTTCCCCCTGCATTCTGGCTATCCATGCACATGAAAAACTAAAGTTTTTTGAAAACACGCTAGAAGGTGGAGATTTTTTTAAAAATCTATTTTCAGTGTTTTTGTGTGGACAGGCATTTTTTTTTAAAACACTGACATCACGCTGTTTACTGACACATGGTTGTTACTGCTTTCATTTATGGAGCAGAATTACGTCTGAAATATGGCTAACAAATGAGTTGTTTCTGTGCGTTTGGAAGTTTAGGGGTTTATAACTTTTTCATTTTACTTTTTAATTACACTCTAGTGAAGAGGCATCAGAATGTAATGTCAGGATGTCAATTCTTTTAAACTGGGTGTTAGCTTGATTGCAAACATTACAAAAACCTCAGTGATTCTAAACATTCTAAAAGATATGTGACTCGATGATCATTAACCATTTAGTCAGATCTAAAAAAAATCCTAAGCCAGGAGGAAAAAATGATGTTGCAGAGTCTTAGCCATGGGAATAAACACACTGACACAGAAGCAAGTGGTAGGATTTCTAGCACTTTTTTAAGCTCACTTTCTGACAAAAAAAATCAGACTTTGAATGTGTGAAACACTGAAATAATGAGGTCTGATGGTCTGCAAATCAAAGCCTAAAGTATTTTTTAACATGATACAATCACTATTAGAAACTCTCTGCATCAGCTTCACGGTGCACTCCATTCAGTGCACAGCATACGCTCAATGCTCAAGGCATATGACATATAATTTTATGATGTATTATCGTCCTCTACTGGGCTGCCATGCTTAAGTGAGTCGTTTGTGTTTTTGTGTAGATAGAGATTATTCATTCTAAAATATACCTCTGTTTTCTATGGGCTCATGCTTCCAGGGCTACCAAAGTTTTTGGGGTAAAGTTACCCTAAAGGAACTTGGTTTGAAGCAAAATTAAGCGCTACCATAACAATGTCTTTGTGTTCCTGTATCTTTCACTGTTTAATTGAATTTTTCGCCAAGTTTACTCGCATTAATGGGACAAGCAGCTTTGGGCACGCAGTTCAGTAGATGCTAACTGGTGGGGAGTTAGCTTCCATTATTTACTTGTTAGTCACATTAGCCTCAGAGTGCAAGTTGAAAACTAAAGAAGCAAAACATGGACTTCATTTCAGTAAGGTAAAATTTGTACATTTTCTACCACACTATTACTTCATTTTACCTCACAAAATTGTTTCAGGTGCCCGTAATGAAAAAATTACTTAAGGACAAAATTAGTGACCTAAAAGTGCACGTTTTACGATGGTACTGTTTTGCGCACCTGATAGAAGTCAGGAGGAGCTGAGTAACGATTGCTGTGGGACTTGGCTTGGACTCTGTTGTCAGTTAAGGAAACTCTAGTATCCATGGTTACTGCAGCCCCTCCCTCATCTTGAGCAGTCACTGCTGAGCTGCAAGTGCTTTGGCTCCTCCTGCCGCGTTCCAAACGATGCACAACATCCGGAGGTGTTGGAACAATCTATAGAACATGTATCTGATAAATGCAAGAGCAGCACATACAATGTATTTCAAAAAAAATTATGTTTATCCGGTTATAAACAGTTACTGCTTTACATCTTACCTTGAAGCGACTCGTGGATGAATTGTGTCCACTAGAGCTGCCTGTTGAGTCATTTCTAATGAGTAGCCTGTTCAAAGCTAATGAAGGCAAAAGAAATATATGAATACATTAATTTCATTCTCAAATAATTTTCATCATGTTCTAATACGTGTTCCCATTTCCTGTATTTCCTATCCCGTATTCTTTAACTATTGCTTTATAGTTACTTTAAGGTACAAAGTTGTACCTGAGCTAGTTAGCAGTAGAACTGGGCCGTATTTTTCAAAATATTTAATCCATATAAGACAAGAGTCATTATTTAATACATCATTTTTCTACTCTATTCAAAAGTAATCATATAATTACATATTTGTTTATGTAGTGAGAAACGTAATTACATTCACATTCAATTTAAGTTCATATTTGATTTACATTCTGTATTGACAGGCCGGAGTCTGCATGCCTTCCCTTTGTTTCAATGTCCAGAAGTGGCTCAAAAAACAAAAAAAAAGGTGGCAACTGGATGGTTTTTCCCTTTCCAACAGAAATGTGGTATTGACTGCAAATTTGACTTGAATTTCTCTGCTTGTGCAAATGAGCTGAGTGAGAAATAATTCATTTTAAATTACATCCTCATTGCTCCAGAAGAAAGTTCTCCAGGGTCTAATGCTGGCAGATGAAAACCTCTGGATGAAGATCAAAAACGTGCAGCACTGCACACACACATTTCACTTACGAGCAACTGCAGAGTCACTCAGGGTACCAAGACTATCACTCCTCTCTGGAATCTGAGGCTGAAAGAGGAAGCAAGCGGGGAAAGGATAAAAAAAATGGATGAGCATGTAACAGGACAGCAACAGATGTAGACAAACATCAGTACTCCTGAACGATCAATAAAACAATGATGAGATCAGCCAAATAACCTGTTATTTGATCACGGCAGGAAATCATTTAAACATTTTTTAGAATCGAATGGTTTGCAACCAGATCTTCACAATGCAAATTATGATCCTTGTGATGGCAGCTCATTTGAAGAGAAAAGCATCTAAGACTTCTCTAAACTACACAAGTCAGACTAATTTAGTAAATATAATGAAGACATCAGTAACACATAGCCGCTTAGGCCCTAATAAAACACTATATTCTCTAGTACAAGTTAGGAAAATATATGAATGTACACTGTCCATCAAAACTTTGGAGACACCAGTAGCATAACAATTAACAGAGCTGTTTAGATATTGCCACTTTTCTTTGCAGAACTGCAAATTTGAAGGAACAACTAAAAAGTACTAGCTGGCTTGATGTCAAGCAAAAAATATTTCAGGAGCTAAAAGACTTTTCATACTAAGAAAGACACTCTAATGAACTTGAAAGTTGAAAAACAAGCAAAGTATTAGTAAGTAGTTGTTTTATGTCAATAAACCCTTTGCAGATATTTACTCAAGTAACTGAACAATGGATCTAATCTCTTGACAGACAAAAAGATACTACAATGGGGTATTCAACTCCAGTCATGGAGGGCTAGGGCTCAGCACAGTTTGGATTTCCCTGCTGAAACACACCTGATTCAACTCACCTGTTAACTGTCAGGTTTCGTGGGTGTGTTTGAGTTGAGGAATCAAACTGTGTTGTACACTGGCCCTTCAGGACCAGAGTCGAATACCCGTCTCTACACACTTCTGTAACGTTATTTTGAACAACGCATGTCTAAAGCAGCAGTCACACTACAAAACTGCAGTATACGTAATGGGGATGACCAAGACAGGACTGGAAGAATGGCAATAAAAATTGCTCCATTTTAGTGCAGTTAGCAAGCTAGTAAATTTAGAAACCATAAACAATAAACACAAAAGTAAACAATTATGCCATCTATTACAGCTTTTTGGCTGACTGCGTACCACGCTGCCTCTCTTTTATAAATCTCAAGAAGCAGTATCCTGCTTAAAATGAGTGCTTCACCATTTAACTTCAAATGTTGCTATTTCTAAGGACCATTTTAGAGACCAATTATTTTAGAGAGCAATTCTGCTATTGGTCAATGATGTGAAGTTAAAACTAGAAACCATGCTTAACATGAAACATTTCTTTTGCTCCAGCAGTATGTGATGTGAAACTGTTAAATGTTTCTAATTCCACTGAAATGAATGAAATTTCACCAATGTTTCTGTGACCAGGCCTTAAAGGAACACTCCAGCATTTTCCAAGCTAATCTCTATCTGCCATCTGCGCAGAATACGGTTGAGTACCACATACCGTTCTGACATATATCCTTCCTTTATCTTCTGTTTATTCCTAAGTATAGGAAAATTACTGCCGTGACTGTACACTACTGGTGTGTCAGACAGAGATTAGGTGAAAGAAGGCTGAAGTATTCTTCTAAAGGTGCTCACTGTAGGATGTAAGTAGTTTTACCAGCATTTCTCCTCTCCTCAGCGGCCCATCACTGCCCTGACTGTCTGACACTGGTGGTGATCCTGGGGGGTCAGACGCTGAGCTTGTGGTTTGTGAGGGGTTGTACTCTTGGTACAGAAGGTTTCTGAGTTTCTCATCGAGTGTCTTTATTGTCCTATCAGCAAACTCTAGTCTGGGAGGCCCTTCTCCATCGGACTCTCCTGGCCCGCCTGCCGCCTGTGTCTGGGACGAAGCAGGGCCTGATGTAGAAGATGTAGTAGGAGGGGCCTGCTGTGTCTGATGGGCAGGGCTTTGAGGCTGTGACTGTGTACTGCCAACAGCAGGTGGTGGAATGGGTGTAGAAAAAGGTTGCTGAAGTACTACTGGTTGAGTTTGGCTCAGAGGTGTGTCTGTGACGGGGCTGGCATTTTGATTGGCTGGCTGGTGAGGGGCTGTGATGGTTTTCTGTGCGCTCATATCCTGGGAAACAGCAGGGCCGATGGGACAGCACGGGATGTCTGTAACCATGGACGCTGCTGCTGCTGAATGACCAGTCTTAGGGTCCTCCACTGACTGAGTACGCTCAGTGGCACTGAGAGGGGGCTTTGATAAAGATGCGTGTTTCTGAAGCGGTCTGGCTCCACCTACACTGGTATCTTGCATCGGAGCTGTAGAGGGGCCTTCAGGGTCTGCAAAAAAGAAAAGAAAAAGATGCAACCTAGAAATATCAAATCTAAAAAAGGTCAGTGACTCACTGAGCTGTTATGCAATAACATATCCTGGCACTTGATTTGCTTGTGAGTACACAGGTACCAATATTGTTTCTGTCATAAAAAAAACCTCTTACTCCAGCTTTTATTTTTTTACTCTATTTGAAATGCCAGCAGCCTTTATCATTGTGTGAATATTTCATGTTGAATGTACTAATATAAATGTCCCAAAATGGCTTGGAATAAAATCCTATTACATTAATTGTTAGGGACATAAATTTTGGCAAATTCTTTTGACCAATAACCCATCGTTATTAGTTGGTGAATAATTGTTAACCAACAAACCTAAAATTATTGATATGACCCATAAAAACATTAAATATGGCACTACGTTATATGTAAACAAGTCTTTAGGCTTCATTGAATGAAACACAGCCTAACATAACCGATGAAAGTAATGTAGTGTTGTCTGCTTACTGACATCTACCACATATCATTAGCCCCAACATATTATACAAACATATATGGACTGACCAGGGCTAGCTTGAAGTCCGATAGCTATAGCTATAGCTTAGGACTACACTCAAGAGAAGCAAAATGACAAAAAAAAACAAAAAAAAACAAACAAACAAACAAACAAACAAACAAACAAACAAACAAACAGGTAGCTGCAGCCTACTTTAGCACTGTGTCACGTGGCTAAATATCTTGGTTGCGAAAGTGCCGTAACTGCATTTAGTATAGTTTAATCTCTGCTATTACTTATATTATTATCAACAGCTCTGCCGCTATCAGTTAAAATTAACAGGAGTTGAGAAAACGAGTGCACTCTAGCACCCTCATGCGTACAATGAGAATAAAAAACCCATTTATTCAAATATCAATTGTTAACAGCCAATTACTTTTTTAATCTAAGCATGGTCAGACATTTGTGCATTTGGTGGTTAACAGTTAATAGGTTAATCATTAACATCTCTAATCAATGCACACGTTAAGACTGTTTTTCCCCTCTGTCTATTAAGTTTAGAATTTTTTAAAATGTGAGATTTTGTTAAAACTGTGGTAATATATATACACACGTGTACCTTTGACTGTGACATTGTCTTCCTTATTGCATGGAGGCACCTCAGCCACAGGACAGATGATGAACAAGCGTTTTCCTGTGTGGAGCACTATCAATGTGACAAGAAAAAACACACACAAACAAATCCATTAGAACAAAAACAGTTCATCTGTGTCTCTCACACACTCACACACACACACACACACCCCCCCTAATCACTGATTTCAGAAACCCAGAATATACTCATCACCTGCTCTCTGCCACTAATACTGTGGGCTAGAAACAAAGCATCTGTCTCCTTTCAAAACTCCTCCCTTCATCAGAGTGTACTGTATAATCCTCTTTGATGTAAGCAAACCAAACTGCGTAGTTTTCTGAAAGTTTAGGCTTTGCTAAGAAGCATGCAAACTAATCACACTTGCCATAAAGCTCACAATAACACTAACAAATCACTGAAAAAAATCTAGTACAGAGATACAGTACTGTGCAAAAGTCAGATAGCATCCTTCATTTATATAATATTCAGTACAAGTTATTTATTTTTCTGTGTGAGGAAAAAAAGCACATAACATTTAATCACCAAAAAAAAAAAATTACACAATAGCCTCAACTACTAAATACCACATTTTTTAGTATTTACCGTGTCCACAATTTGCCTTAATTACAGCTTCCATTCTTTTCGGGACACTTGCTTTCAGTTTTTCGAAGAAATCTGCAGGGATTTTTTCCACACCTCCACAGTTCAGTCCTAGAAGTTGGTGCTTCTCACAATTCATGTATTCCAAAACGCATTCAAAGATGCTGAGATCTGGACTCCAGGGTGGCCAGTCCATTGTTCTGAGAATACAAGTGGCTTCTTTGTTTGATTTGCAAATTTTCTATTTTTCTCAGTAATATACTTCTGCAGGCCCACTGCCCTGCAAATTTTAGTAATTTTCATGCATTAACACACCCACGTTAACTCAATAATGGCTGTTTATGAGCCGATTAGTTGGACCAAGCGTGTTGGGAGCAGGGAAAACAAAGCACTCTTTATCTGATGGTGATTGTGATCTTTAAATCTTTTTTTTTAACTCTAGTTTTGGAAACTTTTTTCCTTCCAGTTGTTTTGCTTTGACTTCTTTATGCAAGTGCCTTATTATATCTAATCATCTCAGGAATATGAAAAATGAGTAACTTTAATAGCTGTTTTGTCAGGAAATAAAATAAATGAAGGGTGGTCTCTGACTTTTACACAATAGTTACATACAGACACATAAAATCTTACCATTTTGCTGGTAGACTAGCTGGCTGGACTGTGTTTGCTGAGGTTTTGTTCCCTGTAACAAACAACATAAAAACAAAGTTACTTGGATCATACATTTGATACATACCTCAGTCAACATTTCACTTCATCTCGACAAAAGGCCTGTAGTAAACCAAGTATATCCCTCAATTTTTTCCAATATTCTCCTCTAGGTTAATTCAAAGCTTAATTCAAATGATTATGTTTTATGCATCAATTCCTTCCAGCAAGAACATCAAAGCTTACTGCATACCGCTTCTTAAGCATAGAAAGGTTTTGACTATGTTATAAGGGATACCACTAGCATTTCATTCCTCTCCTCATATTTCGCCTGCTCAGCATTCCCTTCCTTGGCATGAGCAAAGTACACCCCGGGGAAAGCTTAATAACTGTACTTCAGAGGGAGATGGATCTTCAGTCTTTAATGAAAGGAGGAAATGGTGAACATCAGACATTAAGTGATAAATCTCACTCCAAGACAAATGATATACTCCACGGACAGGTTGAATATTTAATTCAATGCACCTGGGACCCAATCAGGTTTCAGCTTCCTAGGAACTCAGGGGAGAGCACATTCCCACGGAAATGTAATTTAATCCAAGTTCTATATGAAGTAGCAGTTGTCTGAATTCGAATGAATTTAGGGGGTGGGTTTCAGGGTTAAATTTAATTCTTACTAAATAGAGACAACTGGAATTTTGTTTGCTGGAATTATTTGCAAAAAGTGTTCTTTCTTTTGCCTGTCAGTGTGCTAGCCTAACCATTTCCAAAGCTCTCCTCGAGGAAGTGTAGTATTTAGCCACCATCCAATACCTCCTTCAGCTAATCAACCCTGCACTAAACTAAATTAGGTGATGGATTTCCATAACTTGTTAAAGGTGAAATCCATAAAATGGCTGGAGTGCAGCAGGAAGTCAGGAACCAAACCTGTGTACGTCTCTCTGTATTATTTCAACCAACACAGTATCAACTTCACTAAAAATATTACATACTGCTGACGTTTTATTGTATCATGTTAATTTGCATTTATTCTAATGCTACATAGTGTTTTACTGGCAAAAACACACTCACAGCTGAGATGTTTTACACATTTTTCCTTGTGGCCTAAGCCTTCTGCATAGTACTATACATTCATGTAGTAACATCTAATTCCAAGTAATTTTAATAATCCATTCATCATGGAACGCTGACATAGTGGGCAGTTATCATTTTCTAGTGGTGTACAACGAAAAGTAAATAAAAAATAAAAAAAACTACATGCAGGGACAAGCTGAAACTGTTCAAGGAAGTGGGTTCCCATGAATGGAGCTGAAAAATCATTCTCTAGGTCACATGGGTTTACCTCAGAGCCAGGGGTCCCGTTGATGAGGCTCTGATTGGGCCAGGATGGCTGGTCTGTGCCCCTCTCTCCCTCTGTGTCTTCACTCAGGATGTCCTCCGCTTTCTCCACAATGTCCTTCAGCTGATCAATGAACATTTCCTTCTCCAGCAGAAGAATAAAATCATTCTCAACCTAGTGGACACACATGAGCAAAAGATCGGTATATAGGGAAGGGGAGTGACTGGCATACTCAAAGTAGAGATCCACATCTACATATACACTGTGTATATATTGTTCCTATCCAAACAAAACCTTCTGTCTCCATTTTTGCCTGTATTTCTGTCTTCCAACACAATTTGAAAACGCCCAGTTGGCATATTACTTGGAGAAAAGTCTTGCTCCATTAACTTCCTTTCAAGTTAAAGTTTAGAAAGTTTCTTCCTTCTCCTGTTACCATTTTTAAGATACAAGGTTTTCTTGTTATTTGTGTGTTTATAATAAAGTTAACGTAACAAGATTTTATTGCAAGCAACTTTGGACCATTTTTTTGTAATTTTAACACAATGCAAAGGGTAAGAAGTTTTCAAATAACACAAAAAGACCAAAAAAAGCCAAAAAATAAGATGCAAGGTCTTTGCACAACTGTGACTTTTTTTTTATATCTAAATTTATGTTGTCACCTGCACCAAGAGAAATCTCATACATGCAAATGAAAAAAAGATTCTGACTGACCCTGAACAGATCAGATATTAGAAGAAAAAGAACAAAGGAATCTGGTATTAAAAAATCTGGACAGAAATTTCACAAAAGTTCTTGATGCACAGCATAGTGTAAAGTCAAGTACAGTGGGTCACATGATAACAGTAGCTACATAACAATAACATAAGAACAAATAAGTATTATACTAGAATTAAATGTTTTTAAATATAAATTGTTTTATTTCAAACTGAATAAACACATTTTGCGTAAGCCATATTGATGGTATTTCTTGCCAGTAAAATGGTCAAATGTTAAACAGGGAACACAATTAAAACAAGGTATTTTTATAAAGGGTAATAGCATATCATTAGAGATAAACTGTTAGAATAAGATTTGCTGAGCAGTCAGTACTAAAAGAATTATGATAAACTGCATGTTATATTACAAAAAGAGCATAATACACCCTCTTTAATTAGACTTTATGTAGCATAGTATGTAAAATGTAAAGCAAAAATCACTGTATTGACAGATTTGACAGAAACCTCAGAAAAAACTAAATACTGTGATACGCATCATGCATCGTGAAGTTTTATGTTATATATGTTTGCCATATCACTCACCTCATATATTTTAATTTAAGAAAAAACCTAAAGGTGCTCAAGGTTTCAATAAGAAAAGACCGTGCTATCATACTAGTTCTACACCAAAGACAGGGGTGGGAAGTGTGATGTCAAGTGAAGCCACAAATGGCAAAAATCTTACCCATCAAGTGGGAAGTGACAAACAGGAACAGCACGTTCCTCTTAAAGGAGCAATGTAGTCACTGATGTATATATGGAAACATTCACAGAGATAAGTATGGAGAGGAGTGGGCGGGGGGTTTGTGCTGCTGCAATGCAGAGGGGCTGGGTTGAGACAGTGAGAGTGTGAAAGAGAGAGAGCGAGCAAGAGACAGACACAAACTGACACTTGAAAGAGCATCTCTCATAAGGCAAAGGGTGGGAGGAGAAAGGAGTCAGAGACAAACGCAAAACAGAGATGACAGAGGGACAGAGATCAGAGCAGTAGAGCGAAGCTAAGGGCTGCAGTCCACAAAGCAAAACTACAATATATTTAAAAGTTCTTTTGCTCAACACATTATTTTTTCCCCAGTCACAGAAGCAATGCAGACATACAGAGGGAAACGGAAACTGCAGCGAGAAACTAATGTGACCAGGCACACTTACAGTTCATAAACTAAGAGTGAATATTCAAAAAGAGCATATGTGAGGCATTATGCATCAGTAAGTGTGAGTAAGCAATGAAACCAATGTATATGAAGAAACAATATGGCAAAGAAAGAAAAAGTAAGTACTCAGTTAACTGTTTGATTTTCTACTATTCGAATCCTGAAATCACTATTTCAGTATTTGTTGCTCAATTGAAAGAAACCTTGATTTTATGTTTTAACAGAACTGTAAAACATTAAACACAATTTGTTGTACTTTGAAACGTGGGCATGTGGCGAAAGATGCATCATTAAGGAAGTGACTGAGAAGCAGAGATAACAGCTTCAATAGGCTAGGTTGGTGTGAGGTCCAGAAACCTCTGATGAACTAACATGTTGCCACATCATTCACAAATAAATAAATAAATAAATAAATAAATGAATAAGAACGAACCTGTAGAGAGTGCTTTGTGCTGCTTTGGTACTGAAATTCAGTGTTGAATGACAATTTGTTGACACTCAGTAGCACTCTAGTAACTGAGTTTGCACCATAAAAGGCTTGCAACATGTTAAAAATCACACTGGGTATCCAATAATGCCAGACTTGCTTTGACCAAAAACACTCATCTGGAATAGTGACTGAATTCTGTAATATCAGTATTGGAAAGGTCAATATCGTGTTGACGGGTAACAAACTACATATTGTACAGTCGTAAAAAAAGTGAAAGGAAACATATGTACACTAGAGAACATGCTCCAGCTATAATCTCACCATGTAGGTGGCGATCTCCTCTGGAGCATCTCCATCCAGATCAAACTTAAAAGTGACCATCTTGTGGTTGTGAGTCTCCAGCTGGCATTCCACCATCTTGTCCCCAGTGTTACACACCTGCAGCGGTTAAAGGAGTGAACGTAGGTCAGCCCAGTGTCTGCATCAGTGTACTCAGTGTGACTGCATGTACTGATCAGGAGTGTTTCCACTGAACAAGTTAAAACACTACGGTAGAATGAGAAACACACTGAAATCTCTAGTATGACAATGATTCTGAGAAACTGGACATCCTTTATAATTGGATTTCCTAAAATGTGACTGCTATCATCTATATGATAATAAACCAAATTAATCAGAATCTTACTTTAGAAAGGCATGAACAAGTCGTTTAAATATCAGAGACTTTAACAGGAAAAAAAGGCATGTGATGCCTTACTTTTACTAATAGAATCTCCTTATATTTAAAAGAAAATATTTTGGTCCATTCCTCCACACAAACTATTTCAGTTTCTGGAAATCCTACTTCAACATCCTGCTTCAAATCACAGCATTTAAGTGGGCAATTTGAGAAAGTTCCTGCCCACTTTGATACTTAGAAATTTTTGCTTGCATCTCTCTAAAAATGTATATACTCCTGTGTTCTGGATCACCGTCAAAGTGCATATCCCAGATTGCAAACACATTCTGCTGTCGAACCTCCTGCAATTCACTAATTCCTCAGGCAACAAAGCTTTACACCCCAAGACTCTCTCCACCATGCTTCACTGTTGTAATGCCTTTTTTTCCCTCTTTTTTACTATAAATCCTCTGGACATAGAAGATGAAGACAAAGATAAAGTAAACGAAGAAATGGATTCACTGAATAGTCACAGTGACAATGTTTTATCTTTTAGTCAAAGACTGACTGCTAAAAAAAGGGTCAACTCTCACAGGAATTCAAGGTAATGTTTCAGGAAACTGCTCAATTAGAAACTGGCCTACATATATTATATACTTAACTGTAAAATACCAGCGAATATAACAATATTAATAGATAATTTCACCCAAACTTTTCAAAATTGAATTTTGTCCTACCGCTACCTCTGACGCTTGCGAAATCTTTTCATTAGGCCACACTGCACTGAAATAGAATTCTGCTGTAAAGAGGATGTCATAATTTTGTGTTTCAATATGCATTGTAAATTTCAAGGCTGTTGATCTGGCACGCTCCATTTGAACTGCTAGTGTAAACTTACATTGAGCATGCTCAGTTTGGGCTTGCCAGTCTTCTCCTGCCGAGAGCGTGTGCGTGAGGACTTGCGGTGGTGTTTCCGGACTCTAGACTCACTCCTCCCACCGTGCGTCCCCTCGTTCCCATCACTCATCTCTTTTCCTGATGTGGCATCAGAGTTCATGCTGGGATAGAAGAGAGAGTCTTCATGAACTAATCCATACCCCCTAACAGAGTACAGCAGGCTGGTAACAAACTTATGTGGTGAGCACACAAATCTATATTGACAATCTATGACTGGAAAGGTCATACCTGTCATAAGCAGATCCAGGGACTGTTGTTGCTTTATCCAGTGCAGACTCCTACAATAAGGCAGAGTGAGTGAACAAGAAAGACAGAGAGAAAGACTAAAGCCAACAGGCATCTAAGCACAAACCAAAAGAGGGGAGGATTCACTCATACATGTGAAATCAGAGTGTAAACCCAGTTTCAAAAAAGTTGGGACCGTAGGTAAAATGCAAATAAAAACAGAAAGCAATAATTTATAAAATGTTCTTTGACATGCATTTGAACAAAAAAGCACAAACACACGATGTGTTTTATCTTTGCAAATATACATTCATTCTGAATTCAATGCCTGCAACATGTTCCAAAAAATTTGGGGCAGAGGCAATTTAAGATAGGGACATTGTAAGAAGTTCCTAAAAAGGTGATGCACTCAGGCTTTGGCATAAAACTAGCATTCAGGAAAGGCCTAGTCCTATATCTTCCCCAGCCCTTGACATTCGACCCCTCACTGAATTAAAAACTGTGATGAAAATCACTGTACCGACTTGGAAAAACCATCCATTACTACATCCGCAAATGCAAGATTGTACTATGCACAGTGATGTAATGTAAACAATGTCCAAAAATGGTGCCGCCTTCTCTGGGCTAAAGCTCATCTGAAATGAACCGATGGACAGTGGAAGCACGTATTGTTGTCTGATGAGTCCACTTTCAGAGTGTTTGTGGAAATAATGGACATTCTGGAAATGTTGCAGCAGCATTGGCTGTGTAATCAGAAAATGCAGGTGATAGGCTGGCCGGCCTGCTGTCCAGAACTGTCTCCCAAAGCGTGTGTCTTAAAGTCTGACAATATGCCTTAAGTTCCAAACAACAACAAAGGCCCGGTACAGTTGCATAGCTGAAGACTTGTATCACAGAAAAATTGCAAAGAATTTCACCTTTCAAACTTGGATCAGTTTGTGTCTTCAGTTCCCAGATATTTATTAAGTGTTGTTTTTAAAAGGGTGATGTAACATAGCGGCAACTCTTCTAACTCTTTTTTGAAAGATGTTCTAGGCATTAAATTTGGTATGAGTATATTTTTACAAAAACAACAAGAAGTTTATAAAAGGTAAAACAACAATTATTGTGTTTTTGTAATATTTCCAACTTAATACAGGTCAAACAAAGTGTACTAATCATTTCACATACTGTCCCAACTTTTTTGGAACTGGATTTGTATATCACAGTATTATTTTATGAAATCAAAACAATGTGAAATCAAAAACGTACAAATATATTACATCAGCTACCTTATGTTTATGCTACTTTTCAAAGCAGACAACAATTCTGCCTCACCTCGGCAAAAACATCAGTGGGCGGCTGGCCCGCTCCGCTCCCGCCGGCACTGGACTGCTGGCTCTGCTGAGTTGAGGTGCTGCTGGGCTGCTTTTGCTGAGTCACGCTGGAGCTGGCTGCAAAGGGCTCCTGGTTCAAATCCAAAGACGCAGCAGCACTTGCTGGATCTGGTACAGTGCCCAAGGATGGGGTCTGGTTTGTTGATGCAGCATGAAGGGTGGGTTGAGGGAGATGGGAAGCACTGGTAGTTTGGGCATGGCGGGCCAAGACGGTGGTGCCGTTCTGAGCTGTGGTGACAGTAATCTGCGAGCAGTGAACCGGGACAGAGGTGGGAATTAAGACGGTGCTCTGAGTAGAGCTCACATGGACTGCGTTTGGGACTGGAAGCACAGACTGGGCCTGGTTATTGCTGGTAGCGGCACCCTAAAGGAAGAAATTGGCAAAAGTTCAGAAAGTTCACCTCCATCCAGACCCAAACAGTGAACTTGCATCAGATACGACATACATCAGATACAAGTCACATTTCAAATGCAGTAACTGCATTCGAAATCTTTTTTTTTTTCTTTCATTTCAGCTACATCTGCAATTGGTGCCCCACGGGGATTCCCAGACTGCATCTTGCAGTGACTGCTATTTGGTTTATTGATTAGCCCAACGTTTGTTTAGGCAGTGTCTTCAAAATCTAAATTGAGCATAACTGCCAAGGAAAACAGTCTGTAACAAATAACGCAGACACTGCAGCTACGACCACTTCACATTCATTTGCAGCCTTGAGTGTTTTAAGGGACAACTTTCTACGCACACCCGCATATTCCGTACATCACTGTCATGACAAAACAACGTATCTCAGAAATGGTAACATCTCATGAGAAGGAAAAAAAAAAAAATGTTCTCAACTTTGAATTAAGTTTACAAAACAAGATTTTTTTTAAGTAATTTTGTAGTATTTCTAGTATTTCCAATTGTCATTAAATTTTAACACACTGTAAAGGGCCGCTGGAAATGTTAAAATTCTACAAAAGTAAATAAAACAACAAAAATTAGATACATGTTTTTGTTCCAACAGCGCACATGTATAAAATTGTATACATAGCTGGCAGATAGTACATCGGCTCATGCATATTAGCTCGCAGTTAGCGCATTAGCTTGCTTTGACTGCATTAGCTCATGGTTAGCGCATTAGTTTATATTTACCACATTAGCTCATGGTTAGCTTGTTAGCTTCTCTGTCAGTCAGTAGAATTAGAGGCAAAAAGTTAACCAAAGCTACAATTGATGATATTTGCTGTTTTCCCCCCCGAACTGAGACACCATTGTATCAAACCAAAATTATATGAAATTAATGAAAATGTTACACCACAAAATTTATTTTTATGTTTACCCCTAAATCTAACTAACTACAGTCACTGAAAAGAAAACGCTGCTGTTTGCTAAAAAAGTGACCCATTTCCTCTGGGTTTTCCTACATAAACTAAACATTTTTGCCCTGAAAAAATGATTAAAAACAGAGCAACAAGCAGACACACATGTACACATTTTACCTGAGGAGGAGGAGCCGGGGAGGTGGGAGGAGCTCCTGCATACAGTGAGGCAGGATTTGGTGAAGGAGGTAGGTTTTGGTGCACTGGGGGAGCGGTCTTAGTGAGGGTATGAGAAGAAGGCGTGACCATGGAGCTTGCGCTTTGTTGCTGAACCACAGGATAGCACTGTTGGTAAGAGTGCATTATGGGGACTGTAGTTGTGAGTGCAGGAGCAGCAAAGGGTTGCTGGGGACACTGTGTGGGTTTTGGGGAAGTGGAGGGTAAGAGAGGGTACTGTGTTGGCACAGCTCCCTCTATTTGTGAGCAGGGCACTGGTGAAAGAGAGGGAAGTGAAGGGGCAGGCTGGCCAGTGGAGAGGTACAGCGGAGCAAGGGATGAATGCACAGAGGAGGAAAAAGACGAGGGACAGGAATCATGTCCAGGAAGAGTGGCCCCAACAGAATGGGCAGGATTCAAAGAAGGTAACTGGAGTGGGGGAAAAAAGCAAAGGACGTTTAACTAAACTAAAAAACTAATAAAATGTCCTACATAACACAAAACAAGTTATCTTAAAATATAACATTTTGGACAAAAAAAACAAAATACATCATTTCCTTAATCCAAAATGTTAAAAACAGCAGAAGCTGCCATTTTGAAACCTGTTCTTAAGATATAAAATTTAAATTCTGTTTCAAAATCCTAATTAACTAGTCTCGGCTTCAAGATGCTCTGTCCGCACATACACAGAGCAAGCACCTTGTCTGATATCTATAGTATGCTAAGCTCACCACAACAACTGGGATTTTGCCAGTTGCATTCTATTTGGCAAGCATTTCCATCTAGCAGGTTTTATCAGTCCAGTGGAAAACACTTTCGCAAGCAGTTAACTGCTCTGTGCACCGTGCGAATGAGCCTTGCAGATATAAGTATAGATATAGTCACTTCATTAAAAAAATATGTGAAATCACATTTGCAAGTTTTAAAGGGTTTTTTATAATAACAGCCTTTAAGCAAGATTCCCACAAGTGTGTTATGTGCAGCCCATTTTAAAAATCACCTGGCCTGTGAAAGTTGGAAGTTCTTCACACTAAGCAACAAAACAAACCAGACTCACTGATGAGTCTGCTTGCAACACTACATGCTCTCTGACATGCACTCTTTAAAACTCCATTGTTGAGTACTTAAGATGCTTACCAGTGTGAGGTGATTTGGTTGCTGAGACGAGGAAGTCTGGTGTGGTTGCAGCTGATGAGCAGCAGAACTCTGGACCAATGATGGCTGAGAACAAAGGATCTGAGAAGGTAAACAGGATGATGACAAGAAGGTGTGCTGCATGTTCACTTCAGGGTTAACAGGGGTTACAAATATTAAAATGAACAGATAATAAAATTAACAGAGGAAACAGAGAAATTAAGAGGAGAAAGAGAAGACTGCAGCATATGTTAACTCTGGCTATCAACCTACATAAACTAGCTTTCAGTTTCTGTTCTTGAGGTCCAGACACACAGGACGAATTGCATCCTGGCATCTAGACTTGTGTAAGCGCAAAGTAATCATCTTGATCAACTGTATATCATCAGTTTACAAGAAATTTCAGTTGTAGAACATACAGATGAGTTGCTGTTCAGTGGACGGCACTGTGGGTGGGTGGCAGTTAGTGGTGAGAATTACAGTTCTTTTCATATATTCACTAAGAACAGATCATTCACTGAAATGCTCTGCTCCTTCTAAACCATTCACAGAGTAGTTTGGCATAAAATAGCATGTGATCAACAGCAGCATCAGTGAACTGCTATAACAGACTACCTTAACGGTTCCATAAGTAACAGATCAAAAAGAATTACATGATTAAGCAATACATCAGAAAGTCTTATCAAGTAATCTTGTAGTATAAGGCTGTGTTCAAAATGGCATACTGTGTATTGTATACTGCATATTACATCCATATATACTGTATACTGCATGTTGTTCTTTATCGGTAGAATACTGAACAGTTTTCAGTACACGAGACAAGCCGTGAGCTGTACTACAGTGCACTAGACTTTCAACATCAGGGACTGAGCCAATCAGACCATCTCAAAGCCTGCCCCATTTTCCTCAGCTTTCCAATTGTTGTACTTGTTACTAACCTCTTTTTAGCGTGTGCGCTTGTGTTTTGGTCAAGATATGTGCCTGTCTGACTTTTGAAATACACCCCATACAATCACAGAGGGAAGAGCGTTGCTTTCTTCTCTCCAAAGCCACAAATTGACTTTAAAAAAGCCAGCTTTGGATTGGTCTGCGTGTTAAACCTGTGTGGTTTCCAAACATCTATTTTCTTCCATTTGGGAGTCATTTCATTTTCATTACTCTAGAGGTAATATAGGCCATTTTGACTGAATAATAAGCAGTTTTACTCCTCACAGGAGCAGATTGTTTGACTAAGACAAACTTTATTATGTTAATGTTTTAACCATATTATCAATGCAGTAAGTTAACTTAGTAAAGTAAAAGTTAAAGTTAAAATAGATAAAGTAAAGCAAACCCACCTCAAGACCAGCAGAGAAAACTAATGTGGCTTCAGTGTTGCACTGAATGCAACAGCATTTGGATAAATTTCTTTCATTTTGCTGTTATTATTGTATAGAAGGGCTGAATCCAGGGTTATTAAAAAAAGAAAAAAAGATTACGTCCTCCCAAGAAGGCTGTGGCGCATTGTGGAACGCAGTAGATAGCTCTGGCTGTGTACTGAAACATTTTGCTGGTGCAGTAAGTCATCCTTGTACATTTGATGTACTGGAGAAATTCGTGTTGGTCACATACTGTATACTACTTACTACTTTTGGCCACATTTAGTATGCGAGCAGTATGTAGTAAGCTATTTCGAACGCAGCCCAAGATTAGATTTCCTCTACACTCAAATTATATTAACAGACTACAAACTTAGCAAAAAGAGTTTTATATGGTACCAAAAAGTCATATGATTTGTAGCAACATTGGAACCCTTTTCGGTGCTTTAAAAATTTTCTCTGAAATTCTTTGAAAAAACATTTACAGCAGGTTTCACCATAGGGAAGAACCATTTAACTGGACAAAGAACCACTTACGCATTCAGATGGTTCGAGTGTTCAGTTCTTTTTCTCGTTTTAACAATGTAACTAGAACCCCTTGTATGTTGTAAGTTTTATCTCACCATATTGACTACATGTGAAAAAGTTAAGCAGAACAAACCTTTCAAGGAGCTCTGTGCATTTTTCACAAGAACTGTCAACAAGTTGTAAAAGACATTTCTGTTAAATTCTTTGAATTAAATTCTCAAATCTGATTAAACATCTCATCAAAAATGTGATTTATCTCTGCCGCATGAAAAGCAGCACTACCTGGTCGGAGAACTTGAAGTTCAGTTTCTATGCAGCTTTCTGACTTTTGCAAGCAAGAGTTGACTACTATGGCGTATCTCTAAACTAGCATTTAGAAGCTAGCCAGCTGACTGCCATCCGCAGCTGCATTGAACTATAATTACATTCTAAATCAATATATAAGGGTTTATAAATGAGCCCTTTTAACTATGACATTTAGTTTTCACACTGGGAGCGAGAGCTTTGATCATGCTAGGGCCAGTTCTTCTCAATCTAATGTGGTCATCCATAGGGAAACCACTTTCATTATGGCAAAAAAATTCAAGGACGTCAGTTGAGAGTGGGCAGGGGGATGGATGTTGCAGAGCAGTGACCAAATGTATAGTTAACAGCAATTCCAGCCTTTTTCGATTGTTTAAGCTTTGTGGTTAAGTTAGACTGATGAGCTGGAGAGGTATATTTTTAGTATCAAACAATACTCAGCCCTATTCAGCACTGGTGGAGCTGGGCAAGGTTTATAAGCTTGTGAGGGACCCAATCAGCGCATTCATATGGTATAAAGCAGGGATGCCCAATTCTGATCCTGGAGACCTACTGCTCTGCTGAGTTTAGCTCAAACCTCCAGTTAATGAAGGCCTTCAGGGGCATTTGAATATCAGAGCCAGGGGTGTTGGATCTGAACTCTCCAGGTGGTAGATCTCCAGGAAAGATTGAACACTCCTGGTATAAAGTGTCTGTGTAGTTAAAAAAATAAATAAGTAAAAAACGACAGATAAACTGACTAGAAATATCATGACCCAAATGTACATGTCAACACTGAGATAGCAGACATGGGCAATAACAACAACAGGTTTTGTTATTGTATTAGTGTGAGGTCAGTTCGATCAGGAGTACTACTCATGAGAGATATGTCAATTATTGAAGAATTGAATTCAATTAGCACTTACTTAAACTGCAGTATCTCCTCAGAACTCTAGATTACTGCTGATTTACTCACCTGTTGGGTACTTGCTTCAGAGGCCGCATGACTTGGAAACACAGGTGCAGCTGCAGGCGCCGCCGACTGCAGAGATTCTGTTATATCAGTCATTTTTGCACATGCTGTCACACCCATTGGGTGAAAGCCGTGGTGCGCAGTGACCTGTCCTGTCGGCTGAGCCGGCTGTTGATCTGGTCTTGACTGCATCGGTGCATGTTGCCCTTGCTGCAGGCTGGAGGCTCCAGTCTGGACAGTTTGCATGCTAAGCGGCAGAGCTGCAGCGTCAGGGTAGCTCTGCACAGTTGAGACCTGCTGCACAGGTAAGTATGGTGAAACAGGTCGCACACTACCCTGCAAGGCTTCAAGGTTTGGGGCCTTTGCCACATGTTGAACAGCCGCAGCTGTGGCTTGCTGTACTGGTGGTAATGTTCGGGTGGTTGCACCTACCGCTTGCAGCAAAGAAGGTAACGCTTGGCTGGCTGCAGCTGGCAAAGTTTGTGCAGTTCCAACCGGCACATAACTCTGTGCGGTGACAGTCTGTTGCACAGGTGCAGGCGAATGCACATTTGCTTGGACACTTGGCTGTCCAGTATGTCCTACAGCAGAGTAGCTTTGCACGTTCACCAATGGTGGTGCAATCAACGTGCTCTGTGCAGGCTGTTGCACTGGTAACTGCTGAGCAAAAGTGGCCTGCTGCTGCGCGGTGGAAGGGACAGAAGGGTAGCTCTGGGGCAGCACAGACTGGGCCGTAGGTGGATAGCTGGGCTGTATGGGTGCTACACCGGATGCTGCCGAGTAGCTCTGAGAAGGCTGGAGCACGTGGGCATGAATCTGCAGGGTTGGAGCAGGTGCTGCGGACTACAAGACAAAAGAGCAGTAATTAGAAAATGCTCTCTTATATATACAAACAATAAATGTTTATATAGACCAATTTGCTTACTTAATCATCAGACATTTGCCTCAAACTGTGTTAACTAATCTCAAACAGACCTGCTTGTATGGTTCCTGGCACTATATGAAATACTGGTATCTACAACACTTAATTTTACACACATTTTTATTCATAATATACAGTGTCTAAAAGATATTCTTTATGTAAGCCACAAGTATTACAGACAAAATCTATATAGTAGGGATGCACCTGTCATGAATTTTATGGCCGACTCCAATCTCTTTATTGTCAAATTGGCTGATGGTCGATTTTTGGGCTGATTTAGTCTTTGTTTTTATCCCGAAGCTCATGTTGTGTGGGATAAATTAACATATGAAACATGATAGCACATTTTCTAGTAACTTGCAATATAAACTACAGTATTTGCCGGCATTTTAAATTGTGCAATTTAAATCAAGTCACCTATTTAAATAAAATGAACCAAATAACTGGTTATTTAGCACAAAAAGGTGTTGCAGCAACCTTCAAATACAGTGCATTTACCTGCTCATGCCGATTTCGCGTTTTAGGTGAAAACCAATTCTGACTGTGCATCATACTGTATAGTTAATGTCAAAAAGACGTAAGAAGATCCACATAGCAACAAAACTTTCAATAAACCTTAATAAATGATTGACGGACAAAAACAGATGAACATGCACTGGAGAGGTTAGAAGACGTAGGTAAGGAGTGCATTAACACCAGCAATAAGGCAGCCTACTGTAGGTCACTTTGTGGGATTTAAAAGAAAAAGGGATTGATTGGTTATTGGTCTTCATCAGAAAGCTACTGAAGATCCGTGCATGGCTCTGGGCATTGCTTGCCAAGCGTGGCTAAACCCGCAGAGAGAAGCAGAGACAAGAGACAGGTTTCTATCTGGGTTAAAGATGATTAAAAAAATAAAACAAAAAACAGGAGTTCTCACACAGTATCAGGATGCAAAAGATATATGGCTGAGGAGGGAGAGAAACGGACAGTGGGCAAGAAAACCTGCAAACCCTCTAAAAAAGCAACAGCAGGAGAATTTCTATGTCTGTCTCCTTCAGCAGAGCACCCTCTATAGCCATGGAGGGCAAAGCGCATAGGCCGTCTGACCTACCCAGTGAATGAGGCCGTGGTCACCCACACACACACTCGCCCTGCGGTGTGTTGTAGGCTTTGGCATTAGTTCACCACTCAGAGACTCCGCCATCTGTTTCTCGTCACCATGGCTGCGGGCGGGCCGATACAGCCCATTTTCTACAACTACTGATGGGACTCTTAGTAAGGAGGGATTTGGGGTATGCTTGTGGCCAGTAATGTTTTGCAGAGATTTATTGAGGTCTAAAAGGTCAGAGCTTTCAATGTGGGACCCCCTATGCACACCTGTTCCAGGTAGTAGTCCAGTAGGCGATAGCACGGGAGACAGACGGTGACTAGCGCATATACACGGGGGCGCAATTGCAGCGCTTTTCTCTGTCCGAGTCTTAAGTAGAAGCAGGGAAAGGCAGGTGTTGCACAAGGGGTGTGGACTGTGAGGGGCATAACTTAAAGAGTATCGACGTCCCCGGTCCTCGGAAGCTGCATTGTCTTCACATTCCATCTCACACCACAGCCCCATGGAGGAGTCACTATGGCGACGAGGTTCAAAGGGCAATGGAGAGAGCAGCAATTTTCGGGAAGCATTATCCCCTCCTTCCTCTTTTGATTCCAACTGAGCTGATGTCGCATGCATGGTAGCAGGGCTTATGGGCCGGAAAATGGACTGGACACATGGGTGGTTTCGGAAAGTGTCAGTCACATGAGCACTTTGGTGGCATGCACCTGCTTTATGACCTGCCACCTGGTGGGAAGCCCACGCTTCCAAAACATGATCATGAGGCGTCAAAAATGGGCCAACGGGATGATGCTAATAACAAGCAGACAAAACACGAAAGAAACACAAACGCATCCAGCATTAACCACGCATATGTGCTAGAAACACGATACAAACACAAAAGTACAAAAAATTAAACAAAACGACAATGTTTGTTGTGTGCTTATATCTAAAAAACATACCTGCAAGTAGAGCTATGTTCAAAATATGGCGATATATCATAGATAAACGCGACAACAAACATGCCCATACAGTGATGGCAATATCAAGAAGTATGAATTTTCACAGTACATATGTAAATGTATATGTAAACGGATGCTGCATTCAAGTTTGATAAAGCAATGTTTATAACATGCAGCTCATAAAAAACATGCTCTAACAGTTAGGGCTTTGCTTATTTATTATTATTTTTTAAGAAAAGAGACGAAAGCGCTTCAGTCCCTTCAGCACGTTGTGCGTTCTGCAATTCGCTCATCAATTCGTTTTCATATGTGGGAGTGAAGACAGTATCATTTCTCCACTGCTGTTGAGGACTGTATGATCCTTGTTAGTTGTGAACTTGAGTAGTTCCACTTTCACAAACATGGTTTGGTTCGTAGCTGTAGTGAGTTATTAGTGTTTAGCTGCTGCGATTAGCACCTGATCCATTAGTATTTAAGTTTGGTTTGTAAAGCTTCTTTGTGTTGAGCGCTTCTCAAAACTAAACTCATGGTATTACTGTGCTGTGTGCGTGATATTACTGTGCTGTATGCAGCATGTGTTAGTTTTCACTGTTGCTCGCTGTTCATTATACAGCCACAGATGCATATGTGGCCAAATGCTAATTACTGTGCTGCTATCTTTATGATTAAAAGTCCATAAAGTTCAGCCCTCTGCCTCCTAGTGCTCTGACCAGCACCTTAGAGCGAACCACACCTATCATACAGTGCTTAGCCTCAGGATTACTTATGTATTATTGTTTTTTAACTATTTAAATCTTTGTGGTGAACAATAGATGTCATGATCATTCTCCCCAGCTTTATTTATTTATCCATTATTGCACATTTAAAAAAAATGTTAAGGTATATTTTGCCCAAATAGTGCATGTTGTATGTCTGGTTTGTTTTGTTATCATCATGTTGTATTGTGTTGTGACATGCATTTTGAAGTAACTGCCCTACTCGCAAGTCAGGGCAATGATACTACGCAATAGAATTGGAGCATGCAATATAACGTGCATCACGTGCTTTATGATTTTTATTTTTATTTTTTATTTTTGCACGTGTGCATCTCTGCAGGGGCACTGATACAGACCTGCCGTGTTGCCGTGGAGACGGGTTCCTGCAGAGACTGGTATATGACACTGTGCAGGCTGCTACTGTGGGAGTCTGAGTATACTGTAGAGCCAACACCACTGTCAGCTAGAGAGAGAGAGAGAGAGAGAGAGAGAGAGAGAGAGAGAGAGAGAGAGAGAGAGATGAATACAGTCTCATTTTGTCAAAGCACTGTTAATGAGCATGCTGGTAAAAAGCTTTACAGGCATATAGGCCTTCATGTGACATAAAATGAAATCGTTTTCAAAATTTCTAAAAGAAAGCAATATAACATGTATGGGACTGTACTACTGCTCTGCTTTTGGTCAAACTGCATTTCTACAGGTCATTATTTTCCACTTATCTCCCTCTCAGGCAGAAGATTATTGGCAACTAAAGCTAATACAGACAAAATACTGTAAAATTTATATCCCCTTAAAGAACTAGGTTAAAATCCTTAATATGACAACCTTAGGACATGGCATAAACTGTTTTTATGCTTATGGTAGTACATCAGACCAGATGCAGTTCTGGATGAAAGGGACAGACATTCTCACACACACTTACACGTTACAGAGGTAGTGCTAGCACTGGGCTGGCCCAGACGGCTGTGCTGATCTGCCTCTGTCTCTTCAGGCTCTGCTGGGACGGTGGGCTCGCACAGAGTGGGCACTGTGCCAGCAGGCAGCTGGGCTGGCGGGGTTTGAGCCATGCTGCTCTGAGCTGCTGACGGCACGGTGCGCTCTCGTCTCCACTTTATCAATGCCACACGATCCCGAATAGACTTCCCCACAATCTTTGCATCACTCTCATGGAACAAGCCAGATTCAACCTGACAGTAAGAGAAGAAAAAGACTGTGTGGTTTTGTGCGCACTCGAGAGAGAGAGAGAGAGAGAGAGAGAGAGAGAGAGAGAGAGAGAGAGAGAGAGAGAGAGAGAGAGAGATGAAAGACAGGGAGAAAATGGAGGAAAAAAGGTGGGAGAAAAAATTGAGATACAATGACAGAGAACATCAGAGAAGGTCAGAGTGAAAGAAAAAAAACAAGAAAAAGAAAAGAGAAAAGGAAAATAAAGAAAGCGAGAAAGAAAAAAGTAATATAAAATAATAAGCGAGAGAGAGAGAGAGAGATTCAGAGAGATTCAGAGAGAGAGAGAGAGAGAGAGAGAGAGAGAGAGAGAGAGATTCAGAGAGAGAGAGAGAGAGAGAGAGAGATAAATAAGGGAGAAATAAGAGAAGAATAAGAGGAGAAGAAAGATTAAGGGAAAAAAAAAGCAAAAAAATGAGGAGATAGGAGAGAGATCGAGAGAGGGCGAAAGAGAGCAAGAATTAAAATACTGAAGCTATTCTAGGAACAATAAGACGTAGCTCTCTGAAAGCTGCAGAAAAGGAGCAGAATGAAAACACTCCAGATCAAGAGTAGAAGACCTTCAAATAGAGCGATGATTCACAGAACTCCCTCACTCACACGTGCACACATCAAAAGCAGCAGAGAACTCGTCAATTTTTATACACACACTCATTCCAAAATCTTCTCAATGTGGAAACATAGCTGTACTTATTTAAGGCACTACATGCCAATTACTGTTAAATAGTGAGTCAGAAATACTAAGGCAGTGAGAAGTTGCAAGTAGTGCCTAATGAGAGCCAAAGCTTTTAACTGTGAAACATTCAAAACACTTTAAATCCTGAACAGCTTACATAACTCTCTGATGTGTTAACAGTGCTTCTCAATCCCGGTCCTGTGAGACTGACTCAGTTTGTGCACACCTGATACAACTTCTGAAGGGCTGGATAATGAGCTGCTGAGCTGCAACAGGCTTGGGCAGGGAACATAGCGAACTGCGCAGTGCAGAGGGCATCGAGGGTTAGGTCAAATAAACAATGCAGTAAAAGGGTAAACGGCAAACGGCACCAATTGCAAGTGCTGATTATCAACCCAAACATGGCCGGCAAAATGTGGGGTCGTGTTTAGGCTGGTTACACTAATCAATAACTCTGTTAGAAAATAACCCTCTCTCTTTAGGGCAAAGCTCCACACACACACACACACACACACACACACACACAAAACATTGCATAACGAGGTCTAGAGGATTTTCCAAATGGGGCATTTTGGGACAAGAGAATGTGCACATCTGTACACAGCTACAGTTATACATAAAGACTACACACAGTTGTATCCACCCCTGGTCAAATTACACATTTTTTTGGTCTAAGTGAAAAAGTTAACATCCCCTCTGCATGGAACAAACCTAAATTTGATATTTATGTAAATGATGTACTATTACTTATTTGCTGAATTAACATACTGGGAAAAAAATAAAATGTAGCATGTGCATAAGTCTGGAAACCTTTTCAGGCAGTACTTAGTAACTGACCCCTTTTGGCTGAAATCACAGCCTCCAAATGTTTATTGTAGCCAGCTAACAGTCTCTCTTGCACTTGCAGAATGTTTCTATTTCAGAAATACACACGAGTCATCTCGCATGCACCTACATTTATGTGGTCTATCAAAAGATGTTCATAATATCCAAATCAGAGGACAGTGAAGGCCATTTCAAATCTTTAATCCTTTGTTTCTTGAAGTAGTTCAAGGTTGACCCTAAACATACATAAAAAGCATTGTCCTGCTGTAATACATAACCTCTTCATCTGGGGTTTCTTTTTTGACTCTAGGACATTAACTTCCAGATTTTGTTGACATTTGGTAGAATCCTTTCTTTCCCTCAATCCCCACAACATCTCCTGTGCCACTGGCTGCCATTCAACACCAAAGAATAATACATCAACCCCCGTGCTTAGCATTTGGCAGGATGTTCTAAAGGCTTTTGCTCTCTCTCCCCTGAAAATATACCTTTGGAAAGTTACACTCAGAAAGTATTTAGACATGTTTTATAGTCTTCTATTGCTCAACTATCTTTAGAATATTTTCAGAATTTTCTGTTAAACTTTTTGTAGAGCTGTGTAATACTGAATGCCTGTGAAAACATGTCATTTGACCAGGGGTGTCCAAATTTTGCATAGAACTGTATATGTGGATGACATGAACGCAAGGCCAAAACACCAGTGATGCCACCCAGTAGCTGGCTGCAACAATTTACCCTGTCCACACCTACATTTGACGGAAAACAAGTCAAACTAATGTTTTAATTTGCACATCCAATAGATTTTTTGGCAATTGTGTTCTTCATAAATTTTTCGGGATTCACTCAAAAGAGGCCCCGAATATTCTGTAATAACTCTTGCTAGGACGAAGCAATCTGAATGAAACAACGTGCAATGTGCTCCTCAATATATGGAGTTTCGAACATGCCAGGGTGTCCCTGCGTCGGAGCGATGAGGTACGCACCGGACAGCTGTTGCGACGTTTAACCTCCGTTTGCAACTTCCGGGTGCATACCCCCGTAACCCTTCATGTGTCTGGCAGAAAATGAAGATCACTTCCAGCATCTCATGTAATGCAATCGATTACACATACGTCAAGGTATGTAGCGAATTTTTTAGGTTCAGATTGCTTCATCCTAACGGGAGTTACAACAAAATATTCAAGGCCTCTTTCGAGTGAATCTCCCTGTAGTATGAGCTAAAGGCAAGCTAGAATATCAAAGATAGCTAAAACAGTATTAATTGGTGGTTTTTGTTGAAATTACAAATGATATCAAATTCAGTCACTGTGCACTACTGGAATTTTCTATAACAATTATATGGAAGCCCACTGGTTAACCTCCTGACTTCTGTACAGATGCCAACTCCGGTTTTCATTAACTGTGCAAATGCGAACCAATTTTCAATTAGGCTAACTTCAGGCTTCATATCACCATAATGGGAGCCATGTTGGCCACTCATATAGTCAGAGGTACACAGTTGTGCCTAAAGAAAAGCTGTCATAATACTAAAATTTTGGTACTTGATGCCAATACCAGTGAAATTTGACTGTCCTCATTACCAATTTGGTACCACAGCAAAAGCAGAAATGCCATTCTTAGCCCAGCCAGTCAATATAACTTTAGAAAGCAATTTCAGTCAGGAGGTCGTCTAAGAACACACACTAGTTAGGAGTTCTATTTAGTGGCCAAAACAAACACATTAGATCCACCACACCATTCTGACTCCAAATGTATTTTTTTGGTCTGAAATATCTTTTAAACTGAAATACATTGACGGACGTGGTACTTCATTTTGATATCTAGTTAGCTTTACTTATCTAACAAACTAATTAAAGCTGAACAGGTAAAGAACTCACATGGGGGCAGAGTTTTTGACTTGATCAGCTAGACAAGATTACTGATTTAACTCTGTGACACCACTACCTACCACAGAAAAAAATTTTGCTCGACTTGGCACCTAAGTACTGATATTTTTGACTCTGGTCTAAGGCATATCAGATTTCACCTACTCAGAGAAAGAGATATGACATGCACACACATGCGCATACACTTCCAGGAATGTCCTGCTTCAGTGCTTTTTGGTTTGCTTTGTTTTTTTTTTTAGACTTTTAGACTTAGAGATCTAGGATAAGACATTCTCTGATTACAGTGCACATATTTATGATTATCTCATGACTGGACCTTATCAGATGGCACATGTCTAAGACAATAAACACTGCCTGTTAAATACAAAACAGATAAACAATAATATATGCATATGAATTTAAATTACCACAGCCAGTGGATGTAATAACTATGTGCTCATATTACATAGATATTACTAGACATCTCCAGCTTTTACTTACAGTGCATTACTGCATATTATGTTTGATGTGGAAGCACTAAGAGCAGAATACCAACAATTCTCAAAAGGCCATTGTCTTTAAACAGAGCTCATTGTAGATGAGCTCGTTTTCTCTCACCAATTTCTGGTGTTGCGCTCCCTCAGTGATTGCACAGAAAGCCTGTGAGGTCCAGACCACCGACAGGCAGGGTCAGGTTGCTATAGTACAAAGATGCTTCCAGAGGAATATATTCTACCAAACGTTGAATATCCACACACTTGGAACAGGCCCACCACGTAAGATACTTTAAGCACTACTGAAATAGGATTAGTTTTACCAAGGAAGGCTTTGAAAAGAAAATTCTAATTGTAAAGGATAAAATTTCTGTGTAATTTCAAGAAATACACTGATTTGGCAATTGTGGGCCAATATTTTTTTCACGTACGTATCTACCAATGCTGATGCATAAACATTTATATAATCTAACTAGTGAAACTAAAATCAGATGGATTAGCACTAAAGAGAAATGTCAAATTATAATAAGACACTAATAATTTATGATTACATACAATTTTTTAAACACTTTTTTAAAGAAATCAGCTGCAGATACTAATATGATAACAAAAGAGAAAAAAGGCAGAAAACTGTGACCCAAAAAAAACGAAAAGATTAAACAGGACCACAACTAACGAAGTGGCAAGCCTAACAGCCTAATAAATTGCATGAATGCTAACGAAAATGAAAAATATTGATTTAAAACTGTTTCCTTCACTCTCCTGCACCGGTTGGCTCACGCAGGTTCAAAAAGTTTGAGCAGCGGCAGATGGGGGGAAAACAGTCGGTCACATGGGACTATTTCAGGATTTCTTTGAGGGATATTAGACAAGCATTTAATAATCTCTGTTCATCCCAAGTATCTGAAGAGTTCACAACACTGAAGAACTTCTACATTATATGTCAGATGTAGCTTGAAAACACAACACCTGCTTGATACATCCAGCAAAACAGAGGCATGAAGGCAAGTCGTCGCTAACAGTACTAAGAGCATCTATAGTTCCTGAAATAATAAAAAAACAAATCCCAAAGAGCCAGTGCAAATAATTACTAAAATTGTATGGAATTCACGGACGCTGGATTTTGTGGCAAATTCTGTAACCTACATACTGTAATAATTTTGTTAAGTTTATTTTACATATACTGTTTTTATTCGTCAGGTGAGTTTTTTCTACTGAACGCAGATTTTTATTAATAACAAAAGTTTTTTTTTTGGTAGCACTTTACAGTTTACCTTGTAGTTTTTATGTTTAGTACATTTATTCAAAAGCATAAATAAAACAGAAAAATCTTACAACAACGACAACGACAACAACAGCTCTTGGTTTCGACAAGGTGTGTTTTAAATTTCAGTGAATCACTAGTTATTTCCTCAAATTCCCACACAATCAGGATGCACGTCAGCACTATACTCAATAACAGTAACGCCATGCACACTCATATCCATTAGCAGGTACTGTTACTGGATTACTGTTACAGACACCAAACAGCAACAACAACTGCCACACTGAAACAGCACTCACCATCTCCTGAGCCACGCCCTCAGGAACCTCCTTCTGCAGGTCAAACGTGAACTCGATGACACCCCCATCCTTGTACTTGCCCTTCAGCTTGCGTGGGTCTTCCACCCACAGCCTGAGCGCGATAGATGCCTTCCTCCCGTCATCTTCCTCAGCCAGTTCCACCCGCACGCCTGTGTCCTCCGCGAAGAAGGCATGGTTCAGGAGGTCCTTTATAGAGTAGCTGGACAGAGAGGGTGAAGCATTTAAAGTGAGAATTTAGTCTCATGTACAGTCTGCCAGCAAACAGGTAGTGATTGATGTGTGAGCATATGCACAATATGCACCATCATATATGTACTAATGCTGGTATTGTGCCAAAACTGCTTATTTTCTATGCTAAAAAAATGATGTAAACATAGCTTGGTTTTGACTGGATTGCAACGAAAAGAGAAGGAACAGCTCTATCAACAAGCCGACCTCTAAAGCCCTGTTTCTCATAAATAGCACGACTGATCACAAATCTTTCTTATTAAAGCTGTGCATTACAGTTTACTGTCGCTTAGGGTAGAAGTGGGGTGTATATCAGTATGTAGCAAATAAATTCAGATAACGCAACATACATACAATGCAAAACACGTTAATTCCCTCCCCTCCCATATACTGAGCTGCAACCTAAGGTAAGTTGGTCCACTTAGCTGTTGAATGAGCAGACATCAGACTGTACTGAGTTAAATGGGGACAAGAGAGTGCAAGAAAAAGCTGGTCTTTTGGGGTTAGCTGTTAGCCTAGCATGGAGACTAGCAAGATTTCCAGGCACATCGCCAAAAGCACCCCACACTCAAAGCACCAGCTTGAGGCTACGCTAAGGTATCAGGCCTGGTCCAAAAATACTAGATTTACCTAAACCTCAAATATTTTTTTGCTAAAAAATACTCATAAATAGATTATACCATCAGGAATCTTAATTATAACATGGCACACATTTTTGGTCATACCGCCCAGTACTAGATAGAGGATGATTTTAGGCATGACGCTCAAAACGCTAACTAGCTCCCTTACTAGTAGTCAGTCAGGCCCTAGAGACTGGTTTGCGTGGAGTGGGGCTTTGGTAAGGGACAGTATGATAAAAATCTGCTTAAATTCTGATCGGTAAAAGGGAAAATCTGATGTCAGCTTCTTCTAATACATTCCACAAAACTCATAACAATCACAAAAATACCAGAATCTAAGTTGAAAATGACCAACACCGTTCTTTGACAGCCAACAGTACATTCATGCAAAGGTCGAGTTATTTCAATCTGTTCTTAAAGCATAAAGATTATGGGAATAAGCTTCTGGTCCCTTTAACAAAGTTTTTGTTATCTTTCAATATCGCTAGAATTAAAAATAGAATATCAAATGTGTGACACCAATATCCAACTGATAAAGACAATATCAACCAGCACCAATTCAATCTTCTGGTTCCAAGAACTAGGTTACAGTACATTAATTCCATTACTTTACATAAGAGTGCCACTCTTATAAGTAATTCGGATGCAAGATCCGTGGTTGCGCTGGAAAATTACATTAGACTTAACCTGGCACAGAGTACAGTGTTCAAAGATTAAGACCCTGAAGCTTCTGTGGAGTTTAGAGCATTTTCCCCTACATACATTGCTACTATGATGTTTTTGGATAGAAGAACAGCAATGCTTCTTTTTCTCTTCATCCTCAGGATGCATCTTTCATTCCGTTATATCAGCAAAGAGAAAACCCTACTCAGTGCCAGTACAATACAGAGTGGCCTTAGAATTACAAACAAAGACTCAGCCTTTATCTTGAGCATTCACAAACTCTAATTAGAGCACTTCTTGAAAGAATATTGAGTGAATACTACCTACTCTTACAATAAGGCCTGTGTATGTTCATTCAGGACAAGGACACGAGGACCTAGAGCAGCTGAAATGGAACAATAGCAATCTCTCTTTTTCCCCTCCCTTAAACTGGGCTGGGCTGGTTATGTAAGCAGTAGGCAGTGGGCACTGTTCCTGGCTGGAGGAGATGAGGAGATTGGAGTGGTGTGGAAAAGTGCCCACCAGCAAATGGCCAATAAAGGGCATGTGTGGCCATATGTGTGTCTGAGAACGGTTAGCTAGTCATAGGTGTGCAACCATACAAAAATTTCATATAATAATATGCCTTGCTGTTTTTGCTTCACAGAACGTTTTCAATTCAGATTTTGAAAAGAATGCCAAGATAAATTGAGCATTTATGTATTATCTATTTATTTCTTTTTTGGTAATTCCAAAAATATTTCCCCTAAAAGACAAAAGAAAAGTGCTTGGTGAAGGGATAGACACGACAAGTCTCCTTCAGCTGCAAGAAATTACAAGACGTGAGCCGCTATCCCGAGTATGGATAGAAACGGCAAGCTTTCTGTGTTCATAAGTTTCATATGAAAAATAATTAACTGCCGTGATTCTTAAACTGTGCGTCGCAACTGAAATTCTGCGCGTTTGTGCCACGTGATAAGTAATATCTAAGTATAAGTGCATTTGCACGATTGAGAAATGCATGGTGAGTTTAAGGCATTTTCACACAAAGCCCAATTTTTACAGACAGAAAAAACACACATCAGGATTTGAAAGCACAGACATGCATATTGTCCGAGGCTGACTGACTGTGGATAGAAAGTCCGAGGCTGACTGACTGACACTGTGGAATTTTTTTTTAAACAGAGCTCGTTAGATTTGTGTTTTGTGGTTGCATTACTAGCAGGCTGACCAATCAGAGCTGAGGTGTTATGGTTACTGCTATAGTTTATCAGTTTGTTTTTAATGCTCAGAGCTCTGAGCTGAAGCTTTGTCACCGGTAATTTTCATGACTTCGTCGACATCACCTCTCGATTAATACATTTTTTTTCCATCTCCTTGCTTTCTCAGAGCCAAGAAAAAAAAACATACTGGAATTGATGGGAAAGATAAGCGTGTTAAAAATCACACAGAAATTATAAGCAAGCTAACACAGGACACGCCAGTGTGTGTTTTACAATCTAAATCTAATAAATAATCCCACCTCCTCCAATTAAAACGTGAAACAGAGCTGAAATACATCTTAACTCAGTTTAGTGATCTTTTTCTGCCAGTTCGGGTAAAAAAAAAGTTCAAGGACGTCTGGTTCACTGGATTACATCTCATAACAATATAACAGTCCTACGTATAGTTTGGAGATAGTTGACAAAAACACATACAAGAAATCTAAACGAATGAATAAAAAAAGTGAAAACTATATTGCTGCATTAGATCTTCAGTCATAACAGGTGAATTCATCTCAAGGCATAATAAGAAAAAGTCTGTGCAGTTTTTTGAGTCTTGATTTCAGTTGGAAACTGCAACCTCTTTGCAGGTTTTGGCCAGCCTATAGAATTGTTTTGGTTAAACATGTAACCTATCATACTTCTGTCTGATTACAGTAGACATACTCTAGAAGAACTGAGTGATCAATTCAGTGCAATGAAAGTTGTCCAATGTTGTTATTTTCCAAACAAAAAGATAATCATGTTGATTACTGTCTTGCTGTTTTTTTAAGTTGGTAAATCTATGCTAAATAGATCTGTATTATGTAAAATGATACTGGCCTGCGAATGAAATGAAATGCATCATTCACAAGGTGGCTGTTGGCATGAACTCACATAGCAAAGGTCCCTCCCCCTACACTACCAAGTGCCACATTAACATGCCAACCTGCTGAAATTCCCTGCCACCCCTGATAAAATATTTTCTAGATCTGCCACTGCCAAAAAAAATAATAATAAAATAAAAGAGTAGGAAAAATTTGACTGTGGTCTGGTATAAAAATCACAAATACAACACTATTGACCGCCTAACTGACAACCATGTCCCCCTCACTTTTAAAACAGCTGCTATGTCCCAGCAATCTACCACTTGTGGCAAGTCATTGTTGTACTTGACCAGAAAATGAAGTGTTCCCAAAAAGGAGATAAATGAGAGTCCATGTCGCTTCTTCAAGCTAAGACTAATTTTATCTGCTTGCCATTTCAAACAGCTTGGCTAATCAACCACCCAAGGTACACGATGATGAAGTTAGCTTCTTGTTGAAAGCTGTAAGCTTCGTGCAAAGTAGGTTAACCAAACCAGTTCTTTCTAGTTCCAAGAGCTGCGCAGCAAAGTTGTTTTAACGTTCATGGCTATAAAAGATTTTTAGGACCATCATGGATTGCTTTAAATAGAACTACAGAAATCATTCCCATTATCACACATCTTATAGCATAAAACTGAACTGTATTTGATACACAGCTGACACAGCTGTGACACCCCTAGCTAGCGACCTCGGGGGTGTCAACATAGCAACCAGCCGGCAGCTCTTGCGGCTCCTCTTAGACACTAGGGCTGAACCCATGTACCTAGTATCTGCAAAAATTTCACATACGAAACCTAGATCATTAGTTTTCTTCAAATAAAAAGGCTTTCATTCAAGAGTGTATGTTTCTGCTGCTTGAATTAGTGACAATCACAATCACAGCCGGAATATTTTTCCATACGTCTAAAGTTCAGTCTTAGAAGACGGTTACATTTTCTGTTTCTCACGATCCAAGTAAAACCGAACACATTCAATGATGCTGAAGTCTGGACAGTCCATTGTTCTGAAAAACAGCAGCTTCTTTGTTTGATTTGCAGAAATGTTCTTTTTTTTTACCATTTCCATTTCTCAGTAGTGTTTAGTTGTCTGGATAGAAACACCTGTGGATTTCTTCAGATCTGAAGCAAGAGTGGAGCTTCATTTTCTCCTATCTCTCAAAGACAGTTCTCAATAGAAGATACATGTCAGAGCTTAAAAGTACTGTTCATATGATGGTGATAATTTTGTTGGTATACCAGGTCTTGTAAGAGTAGGTAGTATTCACTCAATATTCTTTCAAGAAGTGCTCTAATTAGAGTTTGTGAATGCTCAAGATAAAGGCTGAGTCTTTGTTTGTAATTCTAAGGCCACTCTGTATTGTACTGGCACTGAGTAGGGTTTTCTCTTTGCTGATATAACGGAATGAAAGATGCACTGTTGTTAAGAGTATCATTATCTCTACAAGTTAACTTTTTTTGGAAACTCATTTTTTTCCTTTATTGTGTAAGTGGATTGTCATATCTGATCTCTTCAAAAATATCTCCTGAAAAATGTATAACTTGTATTTCATGGTCATTTTGACAGTAAACTAAATAAATAAAGGGCAGTCTCTGACCTTTCCACAATGTTGTATATCTTCTAGATTTCACTCACCGCTCCTCCTTATTCTGGCAGATACACTCGCCAATAATCTCCTTGACCTCTGGGTCCATGACCTTGTTATAGCTGGCAGGCTTCACCCCCTGTGAAGCAAAACAGGGAACAGGAGAGAGTGGAAAAGAAGGAGAAAGAGGGGAGGGCAAGATGTTAGGAAGTGATAGCTTTGTTCCTTCACCCACAGCTTGTTTAAACAAGAGCAGGTGCTGTGAGAACGCTAAATTGCACATTACAAAAATAGCAGAAACTTAGCTGGAAAGATTACAATCGCAGCAGCTCTTCAGTGTGACTTAACATTAGCTTTTTCCTTGAAGGTTTTGTATCAGGAGTACATACATACATATATATATATATATATATATATATATATATATTATATATATATATATATATATATATATATATATATATACACACACACACACACACACACACACATACATACATATCCCCTGTTTCTCTGAGCCTTGTGTATAATATTACAGATGACTCAGCCCCAGTTTCCAATGGATTTACAAAGCTTAGTCTCATCAAACTAAGACACTTCATACAGAAATACACATTAATTATAAAAAAAACAAAAAAAAACACTCATTCAGGTTATTTTGCTGACAATGGGAAAATATCCAGCAGACACAGTACCACAACAATGCATGAAGAACCTATATTATGAGATGAGCATGGTTATCTGAATATACTAACATCAGAACTGATCCGTGTATTTGTTTACTGTTTAATCAGGTATTTGAACAAGGCATTTGCAGTTGGCAATGAACAAATGACACTGGAATATCTAATCACTTTAAACAGGTTTCTGACATCTATGTGACAGAACTAAACATACTGCATCTGCCATTGAGCTTTATATGAAAATATTTTTAAACAAAAATTTGATCAATTTGTTCTGTGCAAGTTGTGAACTGTTGTATTGCAGCTTAATCTTGTAGCATGTTAAATCACATATGTTTAAAACCAAGATAAAAGACTTCAAATGAAGCCAAAAACAAATCACATACAGATAATCTCTTTCGCTAGTTCTGGGTGTTTTGTAATTTGAATAAAAAAATTAAAAAAAAAGAAAAGAAAAATAAGGGTATTTTCCCAAGGGGGCTCCCAAACACTGGAGCAGTTTGATTCCCAGCCACGATCATCCATAGCTGAGATCCATTACAGCAAAACTTGCTTCACTCTCTGAGTGGAAAGATGCTCCGCCCCCGGTCCCTAATCCCAAACACTCCGTGATACTAGCCAACTAAGGGTCTATTTGTAGATGTAACAGTAATGCCGTCTCCTCCAGCTGTCCAATGACACTATGTTTGTGGCAGTTCAAAAAGATGTGCTGTCTGGCCTCATATTACCCTGTGGAAGCACACGCCAGCCTTCACCCTTCTAGTCTGGTACCATTCTGTGATATGGGAAACCTAGCCAACAGGTGGAATTGTCCATGACCAATTTGGGCAAAACAAATTCATTCATTGAAAATAATAATCATAATAATCATAATAATAAAAAATTGGTTCTCTTGCTGGGTAAGATGGCTCTCCTTCTCCCCAGTCACTCAGTGTTGTTAGCCAATGTGGGCATCTGTTAGCTTTTGTAACAAAAAAGTTGGCGTTCTGCAAGTGTATTGAGCTGCACAATGACATTGCATTAGTGGTAGCTCAAAAAGACGCAGTGGACCTAGCTAGGGGGTGGAATTGGCAATGACTAAATTGGGTAAAAATCTAAAGGGGAAAAAGTGGATAAGTGCAGGACGCAGCTAAACAGTGCCTTTACAAAGCCCTGCTGAAGAGAGTTAAGAGGCCACGTGACACTTCAGTTTCACTAAAACTGAAAATCAAATACATGCTAATGGTCGCTTTCCACCATCACCAATCCCTTTAGAGGAAGCAAAGGGATAAAAATAACATGCATACAGTACATCCTGACGAACGAGAAAGGGAGAAAAGCGGAGGCAGAGTGAGAATACAAGCAAGAGAGAGTGAACGAGAGAGTGAGAGAGGAGATGAGAACAGGTGATGTAGTTTCGCAGCTGCTAGTGGAGCTCGCTTGCCAAAATCAATAGCCATCAACCCACTCAACACATTACAAATACACCTGCAGTATCCAAACACTTCAATCATTCAAATCATCCAACTGCTCGATACACCTTCACACGTCGCTGTCAGCACAAGCACGTAACCATTAGCTACAGGGATCACTACTCATGTATTCAGATTATCTACATTTCAGGATCTTCATGTTAGCCTTTCTCAACACACAGAACTATGAAGAGCAATATTACTGAACATCCACACCATTTTATTATTAGGTAAGAAGCACAAACTAACCTTTAAGCAGCAAACACAGTCTGTCCTGTGTATCTGGTGTTTGTGTGCAGGAGAAGGTGTGTGAAGAGTGAGAATGTTAGCCTAACTCTGGGAAAATCATACACACAGTACAGAGAGGATAAAACTCCTGAGAGAGACACACGTGAGTTGTGAATGGAAGTGGAAGGGTTTTGTCTGCAAGATGAAAAGTCTGTGTTAGTGGTATCATTAGCAGTGAGCAAAAGCTAGCAGTGATGTGTGGGAGCTGCTGACCTTGTAGTGCTCTCGCTAGTTCAGCCTTGCTCACTAAGCCTGGCTGACTCTGAATTATTCAACAGCTTATACACATGCCCACACACAAACACACACATTTAAATCTTATTGTGTTTAACTATCTCAATGCTAGCACATGCCAGCCACTTCATATCCACTGAAAGAAACTACACCACTGATGAATGCAGCACTACTTCTACACCAAGGGTCAGATTCATAAAACGCAGAGCCAGATTTACTGTGATGGTAAGAGCAAATAGCTTGGCAGTAACACATTCGCTCATTCATAAACAAGGATTATGGGTGTTTTACCGCTTGCGCAATATGAAGTGTGTTCGTGTTATCGTCTCATTTAAATATGCTATTATCCATTTACAACATGATGCCACTCTGCAAAAAAAATAACACCTTGACCACTGACTGTAATCATCTCGGTAAGAAGCTGATGTGAATTAAATGATATTTTCTACAAATGTTTGGTCCCACATGCAATAAATCATGTACACATTCAGCTGATTAACTAATTCACTCAAACAACACAATTTAGTCTGTGTGGACAGAGCTATTCTGCGGTGCTAGAATAGAGGAGAAAAGACTTGCTTGAGAAGCATTTCAGATTCAACCGGCACTCTATTTAAAACAGCCTCTTATTCCTGCATCAAATTTGATGTTTGGCAAATGCTCCTGCTGTGAAAAGAAAGTTGGAACCCAAATAAGTGAAGAGTAATTTCACATGATGAGATTTTAAATAAATTCTTTTAAATTAATTTTGTTGCAAGCAGTTTTGACTTAATAGTATTTTTTTTTTTCAATTTACAACGGATTTTACAAACACATTTGTAATGTACATGACATTTACTAATAAAAATGCATTTCTTGCAAATATTTACTAGTCACTATTTAATTTTCACTTGTGCAAATCAAATAATTTAATATTTACTAGCTGAAATTTGATGTGAATCCCTGAGACCAAGGAAAAAGGAAATAAAGGCTAAAACAGTTGACCATAATAATTAGAATTTCAGCATCTTAACTTAAACAAACAAGGGGAAGCTTCAAATTTGATTCTTGATCCCATCTGACAGCTCTAATGGACAGGCTCTCAGCTCAGTCCTTGTGTCTTCTGTAGCCACTTTTATTGCAGGTAGGTTGCTCAAACTTGTAGATGAAGTGGAATGTAGTGTATTGTTCAATACCTGGCCGCCGCACTAAATTTCAAATGGGTGTTTGATATTTCAGTCACTGCATTTTTAGGTGACAATATTTTCATTTGGCTTTTAGCATTCTGCAGCTAAAGATTTCAAACTGTTAAAGCTAACTCTGTATGTTACAGTTAAGCCTGCTTGCAAACCTAATGGTACTGGGTACCACATGATAGTTCGTCTTTTCCTTTTAGTGCAAACGTTAATGCTTAATTTGAGACAATATTATGCTACAATAATCCAGCATCTAGAAAACGAATTAAGTGGTTCCTAGTGTAAGAATATAGTGCAGTGCCCAAACAGAGACACAGAGATTGATTATGTTGATGCTAAGGCAGGACTCACGCTGGTGACTTTGCGGTAGATCTGGGCAGCGTTCTGACACTCAGAGTAGGGGTATTCCGACGTGGCCATCTCCAGCATGCACATGCCAAAGGCGTAAACATCCACTGATTCATCGTAGTGCTCCTCATACATCTCTGGGGCCATGAACTCTGGGGTGCCTGAGAGCAAGAGCAAAAGATCAAGGGTCAAGAGAGGAGGTCAAAACCAATCAGTGAAGTAAATCTCGAAAAGCAGGGTCAAGCAATGGTTCAGAGTCCCCAAACTTGTGCTTCTGCTTGTCATCTGAGCTAGTTTTCATAAAGGCTATGCCTAAAAGCTGAAAACAAGGTAAGGGCTAGTTGCCACAAGTGCCACAAGACCATAAATACGTATGGACAAAATTAATTAAATAAATAAATAAAATACATAAGAAAAACCTTCAAATGCACTCAGAGTTGCCCTGTGTTAATTTCGTCTTAAGGCCGTTACACACTGGATGTGACACAGTTTATCTAGATTTTCACTGTCTTGTTCAGACTGTATGTACTCATTCAGTAGCTGAAACTCTGACGCCCGTAGCCCAGTTTGGAGAAGCATCATCTGTAACAAAGCTGAAGAAACAGTAATTCTTTTGTCATTTATCAAAACCGTATAGATGCAGATCGTTAAGCTTTGTAGTGTCTATGCCAACCACAGAGAAAGCAGTGATTGATCAAGTGAATTCACGTTAGGCCTGGGCAATATTGCGATATAATCGGATGTCAGATGATGGACAATTAACCTGATGACGAAGGTAGTAACATTTATTATAACAGGTGAAGTAGTTTTAAAAAGATATTGGATTATTGAATATTATTTAATATGTGATTTAATTGAAAGATTTTATTAAACAGTAAATGTTAAAAAAACACATGCACTAAAAATAGAATGGAAGGTAGGTCAAGGCTGCAGCCGACCATATTTATTTGTTTGGGGTAGAGTGATATAATCAATATATCAATAATCATGTTTTTTTACCTAGAAAATATCTTGCTAATTATTTTTAGATATCGTTCAGACTTGGTTCCTGTCACAGTTCCTAAACACTGAAAAAACAAAAAAAGTACTTCAAAAAATTTGGTGTGCAAAAAATCATCAGTTATACATCAGCGTTTGAATTTATTAATGCCTGAATAAACTGCACAAATTGTGCTCTGTGTGTAAAGGCCTTTAGAACGGATGGAAGCCAGTTTTAAACTGGCAGTTTGGTAAAAAATATCAAATTTACACAATTCTCCTCCGTCCCCTAATGTAGTTGATCAGCCAAGACATGTTTGTTACCCTCAAGACATCAAATCTGCTTTATTAGTTTTGGACCAGAGCAACGATAGCAATATAGCTAACAACTACCAGAAGCTTACGTGCAGCATTTTTCATCATTTGAACTTCATGCTTTGTCACGTCTTTGCCTCAAACAGCTACTCTGTCCAAGCTGCCTGCAATCTCAAGCTTGCTTACGTGGTTTCTGATACAGTATGGCTTACAGTTATTTATAAAGACTGACTGAAGTACAGAATGTGAGCTGCTATTATGGTTTAGCTGTGTACCACTGTCCATTAATTTGGGGTTGTATTATTTCATGCAGTAAGGTTTATGTTTTTCCACAGAACCTAAAACTGGGCATGAACAAAAAGCTACCCAGTAAGGCTTCTCCACCTGTGCCAATCAGATATGACAGTGAAATACACCAATTCTATGTGAATGATTCATTTTCATGTTGAACTGCATTAGTATCTCACCGATGACACTCTTGGCAAAGGAGGCTCTCTTGAGGGTGGCCAGGCCTAGGTCTCCGATCTTCACGCTGCCCGTTGGGCCTGTGATAAAGATGTTGTCACACTTGAGATCCCGGTGGATGATGGGAGGGGTGCGTGTGTGCAAGAAGTGCAGGCCCTTCAGGATCTGCCGACACCAGCTCCGTAAGACTTTGGGCTTCATCACCTTAAAGCGTTTCAGATAGCTGCAGAGCAAAAAGGATTCTTTATCATCGTAGTTATCTATGCAACCCCATAAGAAAAACACAAGGAACTCACTGTGTGCCTGATTGGAATGCATGATCTACTAAAGCCAGTGCACAGGATCATGGTCCAAGACAAACAGATTCACAACACTAGTCTTTGTCATTCCTCTATTGACATTCTTGTTATGCTTGCCAAGTAATTTAAAGAAAATACAGGGCCTTATTCCTGTTGCATTTAGTTACATGCCTCAGTCATTTCAAACAAATCTGCAACAATAACCATATTGCAAACATTGCCACTGGAGCAAATACAACAACATGTGCACTGTAGGCACAGAATGCCCATAGTTACTTCCTGCTGACAATCAAATTAAACTGAGGTGACTATTTCCCCCCCAAATAATTCATCCTCTGCACTTCTGTAACCCACTCTTTAAGACCATGTTCGACTGTTACACTCCACAACAGCAGGTGACAATGACCTACTATGCGTCGATAGTAAGCGTGTAACAATACACAGAATTCATGGTTCAGTTCACACCATGGTTTGGACATCATGGTTCACTACAATGGGGGGAAAAAAGCAAAAAAACTTAAATGCATAAGGCTATGATCCTTTTCATTTATTTTACACAAACAGTAGCGCTAATTACAGTGTGTTCCACCCCTGTGGTTGGTACAACCTGTACTGTATTAAGCAGTAAAAATGTAAAAAGTAAACATTCACTCTTGCATAGGTCATATTTTAATGCAGGACTGATAAACAGCAATAGGTAAAAAACGACTAAGTAAATAAAAATAGTAAAAAAAAATTATAAATAAATAAAAATAAAACTTGTGTATAAGGAGGTGTGGCTCAATTTGTTCCACTTAGGTTATAATAAGACATTTAAAGCTTAAGCCGAACCTTCCCAAAGAAAAGACAGACGAAAACACCCTTGCTAGTAGGGAGTGACAGCCAGTTAGCATTTGGCATATAGGATCAGTCTCCATTGTTGTCGTAGATCACTGGGAACCCAAAATTTTCCCACACAACTGATTTGAAAGAAGCAGGCAGGTCTTCTAGCTCTTGCATATCATTTGAACTTAGTGCCATAGTGTAACTGATATAGTCAGATGCCAAATCAACTTCAGCTAAGCTTAGCATGGCCTGTTGCTAATGACTTACAGCTCAAGGTTTCCGGGCAGAACTTGCACTTACATGTACCGTTACATTACTAGTGGATATAAAAAATAAAGCATCCAAGTGAGGACTGGGCATAGCCTTATATCTTGATAACCAGACAAAATTAAACAGATCAGTCAACAAGTTCTTAAGAACCTTACAGGTACACGTTCTTGCAAGCCTTCATCACATAAGAATACAAGATGCTCTTCATCAAGGCTAACCAAATCAGATGTATCTATGTCATTACATTCTGCAAAGCGCAATTGGACCGTATATCAAAATGTCTCTAAACGGAAGTGCGTCAGACTCCTGTCTACGCAAACGTTCTCATGTGGTCATTGAAAAGAAAAGATCAGCTCTAAGACATTGTGATATACATAAACCCTGACATCACCTTGTCTTCATTTCACAGCCCCAGATAAAACTTAATGACAACCATCTATTAAAAACATAACATTCTCCCCCTCATTGTAGGGCCTAAGCTACTAAAACAGACTGAATATATCTTATTCATTTAGTGGCCAAAGGTCTGTATTTAGGATCTTTCTTACGTTTTCAACGTCCCTGAGGTCATGAGCTCCGTCACCAGGACAATACATTTCTTCCCTTTGAGTAGAGACTCCCAGAAGTCGTAGAAGCGTACAATGTTCGGATGCTGAAGACCCTTCAGCATCTCCGCCTCCTCTTTGAAGCGCTGCCTCTCCACTTTGGTCAGCTTTCGGTCCTGAAACAGAGAAGCAAAGAAAACACCTTAAGTCTAACAAATGAAACACAAGGAAACAGAAAACAAAACTTAAATATTTCATCTTTAAAAGTCATAAGAGAGCTCCAGAATCATGAGGTGTCCAATATATACCCTTCCTTGAGAATAAATCAGTCCACTACATAAACACATTTAAACACACTGGCAGCTGAAGTTGCAACAATTCAAACTCCACTTTTCTCTTCGATAAATCTGGCAGTTTTCTGCACCTCTCAAAGGTTTACATAATGCAAGTGTATGAAGGTGTTTTCTAGTGGTTTTGGGGTGCAGAGCCTTAAATTTCACTCTTCAATAAACGAAGATAAAGCCATAAAGAGGTGTTTGCTAAGCATCAACCTCAAGAATAAAAAGAAGATAAAATTTTGAGCTCATGGTAGGGCAAACTCACCCCTGTTGCTTAGCATAAATAAGTTATGTCCAACATACCATTATCATACTAAAAAAAATTCTGTATTATTTTGACCATTGGATTTAATGAGCCACGTTCAAAGCCAAAATCTGTTTGCAGTTATTGCTTTTATGAAGTTTTACATGATGTTCATGGTTGTGTTTAGCCTTTAATTAAGCAGCATTCAAATGCCTCCAGTTCTTACAAATTAGTGATGGTGAGAAGTTTTCTCCCCCATGACAAGCTTTTGTCCTATTTCAAGGTAAAAACACTTCAAAAAACGCCCTACCGATATGGCCATTAGTTAAACTGGAATTACAAACTAGTTTCCATCAAAATTGAATTTTGACAGTCACATTTTTAAGTGCTTAAGCAGTCATTTGAGCCAGCGACAAAAGTAGGTGGGCTTCAGCCCGCTGGATCCAAAACAACCTCTCACCACTGGATTTAGAGAAATAAGTCTAAAACACTAGAGTTATTGGTAGCACTTCAATGTAATGATATTACAGGGAAAATCTGGGTACAAATGAGTTATTTCTTTATAAAACATTCATTCCATTCCCATGCTGTTATTGCAGTGGCTGTAAAGGAGTGACTCCACTGCCACGTTCATTAATGTTCAGTCTGCAGTAGACACCCATACATCAGCAGCTATCACACCACTCACAGCAGACAGGCAGAGAGGGGGAAGGGGATGAAGGAGGGAGAGGAGGTAAATAGAAACAGAAGGAATAGAAAGAGGATGGAGACACAGGGGATGACAGGTTGCAGATTGTCCATGTGATTTCACTGCCTTAAACATCAATACCCCCTATGTGCATATACACTCGTGTCTCCAGCAAGCTACATCTCAGCCACAGCAGGCTGCCAATCTCTTTACACAGTGGAAAGCAAGATATCAGAATGCAGATCACAGCCAGCACTGAGCTACTGGACTCCACTTCATCTACTCTTACTACACTCTTTGGACACTTACTCAGAAACACCTACAATACAAGACACACTTTGGTATGTATACAGTTGGTGGACAACTTGTCAGCCACACTGTACCCCATCACTTTTCTACCCATACAGATCATCAGTGAGCAGATATTATTTGGGTGGTGGATCATTCTCAGCACAGCAACAACACAGACATTGTTGTTTCAGGCGCAGCACTTATACAGTAGGTGTATCTAAAGAAATGGCCGCTGATTGATGATACAAGATAGGTGTACCTCAAAAACTGGCAACTCAGTGTATATAAAAATGGATCAGATAAAGGTTGATATGAAACGGTCACATGCAGAACATCATTCAGTCAGACAATTTAGTGTGTGGTTTCTTGGTGTGATCTCAGAGTGTTCTTGATGGGTGATGGGGCTGACATGTCCTGAGCCCTGGAGACCACACACTCCCACAGTGTGCACATGGGCCATAAAAGGGCAGCACAGATCAATACTAACCCCTTCCCCCTTCATTCCACTCCTGTATCCATCTTGCTCTCTTTATTTGCCATTACCATCCATTTTCACTTTACCCAAACACATGGCTCTCCTTGTCAAATTCCATCCAAGCTCATTTTTGCTCTCTTATTTCTCAGTGTCAAAGGTTTTGACACAGACAACATTCATCATATGAGAAAGTATAATAAAATGTTGTTAAATTCAACAATAATTAAATTTCATCACAAAAACAATGCCTTGCGCTGTATTGCCTTACCCGTTTCTGTCTGAGTAGAGCCTGAAATCACCCTGATGTGTGGCTCAGGTCTCGTTCAGACATAATTTCTCAAATGTGTGTGTTGGGCTCAGGTTGGGTTTAAATTTCACATTCAGGTTCTCTCAGCCTGTCTCCCACTTTTAACAGATTTCCCCCTGCACTTCTCCCTGCTTTAGTTCTTCTATTTCCTTTATTCTTCCTCTCTACTTAAAACGAAATGTTTTAACCTGGCATGCTGCTGTCATCTGCTTAGGCCCATAGGGCCCATGTTTCTGAGAAAATGGATGTGCAGTTAATAAAACAATGAATCAATTTAGGAGATCAATACAGTTTACTTAGCCAAAAGGATAATTATACATAAGTACAAAATACAAAAATATTTTTATATATGTTCTATGTAACGTAATAGAGCTTTAAAATTAAACAGCGAGCATTCTGCTATATCGGCATTGCACTGTGTGAGAAAAGCATGTTCAAAATCTTTGCTTAATGAATAAAGTCGTTAATGCAGAATTTAAACTTAATTTTGACAGATGACTTCCTAAGTACATTTCATATTATTTTTATTATATTAATCCATGACCTAAAGACTGCTATTAGTGTGGTTATGCTGTAATTTATGCAGCGCTGTTTTATCAGTATATTCGGCACTGTGGGTGACGGGCCGGTCCGGGTCAGTTTCAGACAGAATTTTGTTGGGCTCAGGTCTGATTATGACTCAAAGCCTGATGTAGTTCAAGTTGGGATGGGACAAAACGTTAAGTTCAAGTTAGGCTCGGACTTAAAACTTGGTGCTGTGGGTCGGGTCAGGCTAAGACAAAGTTCTCAGATGCCTAGATTTGAACCAAAATTTCAGGAATGATTAAAGTTCGAGTCTAGGGCCATCATTATTACTCGATTAAACTTGATTAAAAATAGTATAATCACACTTTTTAAAATTACCAGTAATGAGTAGATGGCAAATTGAGTGATATTGCACATTTTAACTGCTTGTATGTTGGCCCACATTTCAGTTCCTCTTTCATAACTATACAATTTATATATTACAGAATACTTTACCATCACTTTCGTAACCAAACTATCTTCAAAATAATAACAACTTTACAGAAGGACAAATAAAATGTTTATACCTTGAATATATATTAATGTACCAGGATTTCATTCCAGGTAATTTTGGACCATTTCTATTTCACACAATGTAAAGGACAGCTGGCATTTTCAAATGGAGTAAAAGAGAAAAAAAAATTTAATTATAATAGATCTGACAGTGACACAACAGTTAGAACAGGATAAGTCTTGAAATTATTAACTGAACAACAGGCCTGCACTTCAAGGTGTTCTTAAAGTTTCTTATTGGTCTCTCTTACAGTAAGAAACAGCCTGACCAACAAGCCCATTTTTGCTAACTTACATTTATTTTTCGTTAAGTCTTTACAAAAGCCCATAAAGTATTTGGGGATCTTTCTAATATAAGTGATAGTGACAGCCCTACATCTGTCTAGTCATGGTTGTGTCTGCTCCCATCCCTCCGCTTAGGAACAGAACATCAGTGTCTTGCTTTGGAAAGCTAACAGCTCTATTACATAACCAGCTCTGCACTCAATCACACAGTGACACAAGCCAGACACAAGGGTTTGCACATCATAAGCTATAAGCTGCGATAAGCAGGTGCATGCCTAAACTGTCTGTCGTATAAGCACACACAAGCTCAGACGGATGAACACATGCAGGTCCGGGCCGACGTGCTCGAACCCAGCAGTAATTAATGGGATTAATCTAAAGGTCGATTAGAGAGAGAAAGAGAGAAGGAAGAAAATACAGAGAGATAAACTGATGGGAAGTGAGAGAGGGCTGATGGAAGTGGCACTGAGCGCACGCTCTGAATGTCCACGTGTTGTGCCGAAGCGTGTGCGCGTGCGTTAGGCTTTTATAGCTCTCGCTCCCAGAGCCCCATAAATTATGCAGCACCGCAGAGAGCCTATTCCACTCAGCTGAGCCAGTCTGTTTGAGCTGTCCCCACATGCTCCATGTGCACCCCTCCATCTCTTCTTTTCTCTTCTCCTCCTCCTTTCTGCACAAGCCTTTTCAGCTGACTCGAGGGGATCCCTGCATTATTCAGTAGCCCCTAACAGGCCAGAGGATGTTGAGCCCAGCATGGAAAGTCTCGCACACATACGCACACGCGTTCAATGATGTACTGCAGATTTCCATTCTGGCAGCAGACGTTTCAGATTGTGCCACCCATCTGAGAACAGGTGCCATTCTTTAAATAACTGCATTACCACCATCCTGCTTCCGGCAAGATGCTATCTACAGGAATGCCATCTATACAGTGCACAGGAGCACATGTACTCTTTGGTCCTGTAGTGGAATGCAGCTGACCATTTGATGTTTTCTGATTATAATGAAGGAGATCTTCCCAATCCCATCATATTAATTAATCATTTTTATGCAGGTTAGATGGGGAAAAAAAAAAGTTGTTGCTGCTAGTTGTTTGTTCCGACTGCTGTGTTTTCTTTCTTTTAGGCTTGTTGACTCACTGGCTCCATGGAATCGTATCTCTACATGAATGTCAAGCCTCTCATGTAACTTAAGAATAAAATGTGTGGTTTTCAGTCTGCTAATGCTTTCGAACATTTTATTTCCACTTCAGTTCAGCTTACTAGTTTACACAAATACGGATAGTGTCAAGTTGCCTTTTAGAGCTGAGTGGGGAGTGGCGGAGGTGAGTAACTCTGTTGGTGCACTTTCTGATCATCAAGTTGCCTGTCATCAGGGTTCTGAAAAACCCAAGGCTTATTACTGTAAAGAACATATGATGGTAAAGAGCTTTTTGATGGGATCAGTATTGTCACTGTGCTCCAAATATTCA